TTATATTAAGAATAATTAGATATTTTATTTGTTATATTGTACAATAATTAAACAAATAGCATTATACTAGTAATTTGGCATTAGTCTTGGCCCTCGGCATCGGAATTTTGTAGTGAAGGGGGCAATACTACGTTGAAGGGGGTGACGATTTGTTAGAGGTTGAGAAACACTGAGCTAAAGTCTGAAAACAGCAGCAACACCCAGTTGATAGGAAAGTTAGTGCAATTTTTTCTTCCTTGTTTTATCAGTTTCCATTAAAATAAACCTGATGAAAAGCACAAAATAATTTGAAAATTTCAATATGCTGAAATCCGTGGGCAAATTTGAGATAACGCACATGCTTGCTTGAATAAAAATTAATATTGAATAACAAAGTTTACTCTTAAAAATTGTAGAATTTTGTTTGTATGGAGGACTTCCGAGACTGTGTTAGAGCAAAACCAGAAATTGTGTTGTATAGGGCAGGGGTGGCCAACAAGTTGATCGCGATCGACCGGTCGATTGCGAATACAAATTTGGTCGATCACTCCGATGTCTTGACTTAATATGTTACACTTATAACCGAACGCAACGTGTAAATGTAACGCAGAAATGCAACTGTAGTGATATCGGTCCACCGTGGCCTCCCTCAGATGCGGTTTTGTCGGTACGTGTTAGGGTTTCTCAAATGGGATCCCAGTTGTTTTTTTAATCCGGGAAATCCGGCAAATTTCTTAAAAATTCACTGTTTTTTTCTTATTTTGTGTTAAGGTGAAGAAATTTTGCAAATAGAAAGCATAATTAAACTCATAAACTGTCAGAATACATTTGTATTTATCAATTTTAAACCTACTTATTAGTTTCTTAAGTTTTTGCTCGTTATAGCGTGTCACAAATGGTCGATAATCAATACGTAGCATAATTGTGGCATAACTCTCAAAATTCTTTACTTGTCGGAACCCGTAATATCTGGAATAATTGCGCATATGCTGTCTTAATTTTTAACTGCGCCCAGTAGCTTCGATAACCTTCGATCCATTTGCGTACAGTTGTAAAAGGGGAATAAGAAATGTACACAAAGGGTCGTAAAATCGAAAAAAAGAAAGGCAGGAAGAGGGACAGAGAGAGTAGGTCGGGACACGGTAGAGAGAGGAAGGGTGGTGGTCTCCTGAAAGTGACAACGTTGAGTTTCAATTTTTCTTCTATTTAAAATGTACCTTTTCTTCATATTTTAATTAAATTGTGGCTTTTCTTACCTATTTAAAAAGTTTGTATTTCACACCTCCCCCTCACCACTTAGCCTAAACCTAGGACAAGTCGATTGCGACACCGTTTTAAGATAAAAAGTAGATCTTCTGTACACAAAAGTTGGCCACCCCTGGTATAGGGGATATCCCCAGTTTTCAAACCATGTTGTACGAGGGATACCTGTATTCCTTCATCTTTGAAATATTTGTTTGAAGAATCAGATATATAAACTTGATCCAACTGTGAATTATGTTTGACTAAATCATATGGTGTATAATTTCTAGATGTATTGTGTTATTAGGCATTTAATTTATATCTAATGCAATCTAATTAATTGGTTTTAATTGATCTTGATCAAATATATTTTGCCAGGTATAGTTGATCAAGAATGATCTTAAGACCAATTATTATCTTTTATCCAGACCTTTTTTAAAAATGAACTGAAAATTTGCTTCCTTCCTGAAAAAAGGAAGCAGATTTGCATGTTGTTAATGTTTTGGCAAGTTTTATATTTATTTTAGTATAAATAATCTCCCAAATGAAGGCATTAGAATGTGTGAAATATGAACTATGTAAACATTTATTAACACTAAAAAGTTAAAATGTGTTCTTACAGAAAAAATGTTTTTATTTTTTAGAATAAAGTGGAAAAAGAATAGAGATGCAAAAAGCTTTCAGTTATGATTACCATATGAGAAATACTATTGTTTGATCATTCCTAGAATTATATGCTAGCAATTTTTTGTGATTTGGTAACTTTCATGATGAATGTATTATTTGTCAATATATTTCTGATTGGTATTATTGTAATATGTTTGTTAAATTTAGTATTATTTTCTTAGATTATGATTTACTGGTTTTGTTTTATTTTGCTTTACTATCTTTTGAAGGTGATTATATATAACAATACTTTAGAAATGTAATATAATTGACCATAAAAAACCTTTATCAGTGTTGTGTTTGTTACAATATGCACTAATGTTTTGGATCTCCACCAAGGTCTTCTTCAGGTGCTAAGCGTTGTCTCCCCTTGACTGTTAGAACGATGTCATCCGAGATGTAAATATTGCATGTATCACGTTTCACCCCTGTATTTGTAGACAATTATTACTCAACATTGTGTTACCACGATTGGAAGACGTTTGTGTTAAATGTAATATATTTAGAAAAGTGTAAGATTAGTACATTTGTTTATTTAAAAATCCAAAAATGATTACTTTGTTGTTGTTGTTATTATTATTATATAAATGCTGGCATTATTTGGAAGCCAAAACAGCCTTTCATTAGGAGTGAAAATATTTTCAAATATTTCAGTACATTCTCAATGTCAAACAAGTCTTGTTTTGTTACAATATGGTCTAATCCAGTGTTTCCCAACTTTTTTGGATTAGCAATATGCTTCGAATTTAATTAGATTCCTGTAGCATACCATCATTTTTAAAATAAAAATGTTACTTTTATTTTAAAACTACAATCATAATACATTTTATATATGTTTTTGTTTATTACGAAAGAAATAATTGTATTGAATATAATATAACCAAGTATATTTTAAAAAAAGGTTATTTATTTTACAAAACTTACCAAAAAAGTCCTAATTTTAATGTGATATTTGTGCTTGTTGTTTGCTTAATTTCTTTATTCAGGAACAAATAGTTGACAAGGAAAATTTTAAATGAATTATGGTTGATTTTAAAATATTTTGATAATATGGAAGTTAAAACTTACAAGACAAAAACTCACAATTTTACAAATATAGTATAAAATGAAAAGACTATTTGAATCAGTGTGTAAAGAGGGTATAGTATAAGTCTTTAAGCTGGTAAGCTGCAGCATTTATAGAAGCTCCAAAGAGTTGGTATGCCAGCATATGTATAGACATGTAACTTTTATGAGAGGGTATGCCAATGCCACAAATTTTTCAACAGTCGGCATTTTAGTGAATATCTCTTTCTTCCATTGGTTGACCAGCAGTAAAAAGATGGAAGATAAATGAAGTTTTAAAAAAGGAATTATTCAAAATTCTAAAAGATATTTAATATTTGTGTGACACACTCACAACACGACTTGGGAAACACTGGGCTAATCTAAGATGCTTGTTGTTATGATTAAGAATGAATCAAAGGGTTTAGATATGTTTTAATTCTCTAAAGAATTAAATAGTAAACTTTAAAAGAAATCTTTACACACATTCAAATCTGGCAATTACAGAAAAATACATGCTTCAAAGAATATTTATAAATTGCCCTACGATTAACATTTTGTATAACTTTAAAAATAGGTCAGATATGTACAGAAATTTACAAAACAAAATTATTTTAAAAAAGACAAGAAAAGTGCATAATCNACGGAAGCATTCAATTTGGAAGTGAAATAATGCTTCTGCATTGCAAATAATGCTAATATATTGAAAAAAAACTCATTAATTCATTAGGTTGTTTAATGTGTTGTGATAGCTTTATTAATCCAAAATATTTTTAAACAACAAAAAATTTATTATGTATAACTTAATAAACTTTAGACTAACAGCACAAGACCTTTCTCACTAATTTCTAGCCTTATTAACTGGAGTACGGGTAAGACGACACCTGGGTAAACATTGGCAGCATTTAAACTTCTTCTAACCGACGCTCCACAGTGTACCCGAAAAAGGCCTATTAAGAAGGCCGAAAACGTTTGTACTCCAGTTAATTACAAAACAAAATTATTTTAAAAAAGACAAGAAAAGTGCATAATCATTTTAAACATAATGAAAATGTTAATAAAATAAATTAATATAAATAAAAATATAATAAATAGAATATAAGATAAAAACAGAAAATGTTTACTAAATAAATTGCAATAAATATAAATATGTAAAATAAACAAAACTTATTCCAAAATACAAACAATAGAATACTTAAATTTCATGCATTATTTAATATGTAATAAATTATTATTGCTAATTTTAGTTACATTTTGTTAATAAAGTATATAAGACAAAACAAAACTATTTAATTTGTTGATAATGAGAAAGGGGTATCATATTGATGATTTAGTATTAATCCAGTAAGGAATTATCATCATATAAAAATGTCTGGGTTATATGCAATATTAATATCAGGTCAAATGAAAAGTCATTGTTATGAAAAACATTTTCTAAAACACCTGTGGCATTGATGCACAAATTTAAAAGAGAATTTTAAAAAAAAGGCATTTTTTTTTTCAACTGGTAGTTCAAAATATGCTTTCAAAAGAGATGCAACTAAACTATGTTCTGATTCTGTAAATTTCAAGAAGTTTGCAAAAATGTCTGTTGAAATCAATGAAAAAAGTCTTTTTGAATTTTATCTTGGATATTCTATGAAGCAGACTATTGAAAATATAGCAAAATTATGGTGACAATGGATGGTTGGGAAACTGTCAACTGGGTACCAGCACTGGGCAACAAAATAAGAGATCAATAATAGACAAAATACAAAATATTTAATTGTTTTCTTTATTAAAATTGCCATTCTTTTCTATTGATCCTGGTAAATTTAAATAATATTTTTTAAGAAATGAATTAAATTAGTTAAAAGAGCAATTTTAATTAACAAGCATATTTATACATGTTACATACTTTATTTATTTTTAATTTTGATATCCCCAAAATTAAAAATAAATAATTATAATGTATGTAAATTTAAGTAAATTAAATTAAAATATACATAAAGACAAAGACATTTATGTAAAATCAAAAATGCATTACATTACACATTAAATAGAATATATATTAAAACTAAAAAGTATAAAAGTTCTTCAAAAGAACTACTTTTCTTTGATTGCTTTGTTAACTGCTTTTGACATACAACAATTAACAATGCTACAGTATTGTGCATTGTTTCAAAACATTTCTTTTTCCTAAGTTGGATGTAAGTCTTAACTCATAAAGTAGCCCTTGGATAAGGTCAAAAGTGTTCGTTTAATGAATTATTAAAGTTTTGTCACTGGAAGTAAAGGTTATTTATTGTTATTGTTCGTAACTCATAGTTCACAACTTATAACTCATCCTCATAAGTCTTAATCATATTTATATTTATATGTATTTTGCCATTATTTACAAAAAAAAAAAAGAAAGAAAAATATCTGCAAAATTGTATACTTGCTAAGGAAAAACATGCAAAAAGTTTGTTGCCCAAATGACGTTTGCCCAATTAACCATAACCCACTTGACTATTGCCCAGTTGATCATTGCTCAGCTGTTGTGTTCCCAATTTCTGAGTGCACTGTCAGAAATTGGTTCTCTCAGTTCAGGTCTGGAGACTGCAGAACTAAAGACAAGCCATGCTTTGGATGATCAGAGGAAATTGATGATGATCTAGTGAGGGCATCCAGAGGTTGCTGATGATGCCCTCAACAACATGAGGTGCCATATTTTGCCTGGTGGACCACACACCAAGTCTAAGAGAGTTTTAAGCAATAAGAAGTCATTGCACTGTATTCTGAGATTGTTAAGGTATTATTTATCACAATTACATATTATTAGGCAAGGCAATTGATAGTGACAGCTACAGTAATATGCTTGATAACCTGGCTGCAAAGACTGCCAAAATGTGTCCATCATTAGCCAACTAGAAAGGAGTTTTGTTCCATCAAGACAACACAATATACCAATAAGGAGACAATTTGCCAGTTGCAGTAGCTAGGCTGGAAAATCTTTGATCACTTACCATATTTTCTGGACTTTACCCTTTCAGACTTTTACCTATTTAGTATCTGCAAAGTCATTTTGATGGTCAAATGCTAGGCCAGAACTACAAAAAAAGGGTGGTAAATGAATTTTTTATTTTCAAACATCCATCTTTCTTTGAGCCAGGCATTCAAAATCTGACTAAAACATTGGTCCTAGGTCATAGCTAATGATAGGAGAAATATTATCCTGATTAATTATTATTGTATTTTTAAATAAAATCACTTTTTCTGCACCCTAATATTTGACAATGACTTTCAGATTTTTCCTGATACCATAAACTTTCAGGAGTAATCTAATGTATATGGTAGCTACATTTATTAATTTAAAGACTTTTCAGTGTTTAATAATTATTAATAAATATAGCTACTATGTATGGTACCTTTCAATCTAAAATATATATGACTAGGAATAATATTTATAACTAGGATAATATATAGATAGAAGAGTAGGATGAGCTGATTATTCTGGATGAATTGTAGAATTTTCATCATTTATTATTTCAAGTAGAAAAATGTTCAAAAAGATTATATAATTTTGAGTATATTTTAAACACACAAAACTTAAAATTAAAACAATAATAATAATAAAATTTATTAATTTACAATATCAGATGATTAATTTTGATTTAATTTGATCTTATTGCTTCATGTTGTTCTGGATCCAGAGCATGATTTGAATCTTTAACTGCATGAAAAGCAGGAGTTGCAGATTGATTCCTGCTCTAGATTGATCTTTTCTTTCAAAATATTCTAAGTTAATTGATTTAATTCTAATCATTAAACTTAATAAAGATGACAACTTAAGCACCTACATTTAGTCCAGATTACATAGCATTTGTATATTTAATTAGCTAAAATGTAGTAGATAATAAATCTGGCTTGAATATTTAATTAGTGTTATGAGTTGGTTGTGCTTGGTTTATTTGATTAATAATATGAAATCAATAGATATTAAGATTTTAATATAATAATAAAACAACAAACATATCTATTTTTGCATGATTTATTTGTTTACTTAGGTTTATAGTATTAATCAACAAAATTATGAAGAATATCATGATGACAGATTCAAATTATTCAATTACAGTAAACATTAGTATCATTAGTCCAGTAAAATAAGCAATAATGAAGTGACAAAAATTTTAGACACATTTAAAATGAAACATACAGTGAAAATAGCTAAACAAATGATTAATATGTATTTATAAATCATTAAGTAAAACAGAAAAGATGAAAAAAATAAATGTAATAGTTTTACTGAATCAGTAAAACATATAAAACTGCAGAAGATTGTAAAACATATATGCAGGGTTCCTATGCACCTGGAAAGTCAGAAAAAATCAGAAATTTTCATTAGTGTTCAGAAAAAGTTAGGGAATTTGCTATCTTGGCTGTCTTGTTGATTTTTTGCTGACAATATGCTTGACTAAGTGTATCCATCTGCAGGCAGCAAGAAGTAATGTGGTGCAATACAACTTATAAAAAAGGAATACAGAATATTTTCAGGATCCAAAATTTTTTTCAAGCTCTCACAAAATTTTCCTAAAAATTTACAAAGTACACAAAATGATAAATAATTTAAATGGTAATATTTATCATTTTTCATTTTAATAATTTTGATTGTGTAACAAAACACTTTCTGATTTTTCTTCCAGTTTATTAGTATTTTATAAAGTTCAGGATATTTATTAAGAGATAAATTTAATAAATATATACTTTTGCATGGATTATATAGGAATTGGATTAATTAAAATGTGGAATTTGCTTATATGTATGAACAGAACTTTAATTTATGGTACTGGATTTGTAGGAAATCAGAATTCAATTTACTATGACTTGCTTAATGACAATTTTCTGGAAACTAATTAGATCATGAAGCAATGTCTGATATAGATCAACTGCAATCTTACATTTAATGTTTGCAGAAGAAGTGCATGTAGCAATGACATATTAACATTATAATTGTCAAAGTTGTAGAAAGAACCCTTTTATTATTTGTAATCACAAAAAAGTGTACTTCCAAATGTACAAAAATACCTTTTGCCTTTGTGGTTGTATCCTCATAATGGCTCACAGACCACAACTATCAGAGGATATAAAAAAGACAGATTAGCCTACTATAGGAAGAATGTTTACAAACAGAAGTGCAAAAAATCAACTTGCTGGTTTGGTAAAAAAAAAAAAAAGGGTCAAGGCAGAAAATGGACTAGTGAGAAGGAGGCAAGTAGTTAAAAATCTGTTCCAAATGAACTGCCAAATTATTACTGGGCTTTTATAAGGCTATTAAATAATTACATATAAATTAATTTTAATTTAGAATACAGTGGGTGATCGGTTTACGAACATAATCCGTTCTAAGACTTTGTTCGCTATTCGAATTGTTCATTAACTGATTATCAATTTACCATAGTTTTTATGGGAATTTGATTAATTCATTCCAGAGACCCCAAAAAATAAAAAGTATGTCATAATAAAAATACATATTTATATACACAGTCTTGCATTTTTATTAGTCATGTTTTTTCCATTTGTGGAGGTTAAAGAATCTGTCTAATGTCAATTGCTTTTCTCTCTTTAGAATTTTTCAGAAGTAATTAATAGCATTGTAATTGTAGAGATCCCTAAGCCTATTAATCTCAACCTGGTTTGGATGCGATTCTAAGACCGTCATTCTCACATCCTCCCACTTCTTCAAAACATGTTTAATAGCAGATATCAGCATTAATTCTCTTTTTCAGAAGAAAACACCTCGCCGAGTTTCTTGGTATTATTCATTCAAGAGTTCTTGGCATTCTTCTGTCATCAGATCAGTTTTGGGTTCCATTATGAGCTCTTCAATGTTCTTTATTTCTCAGATGTGATTTTTGTTACTCCTTTAGCTGCTTGAGTTTTCTCAATTATACTGTATCTTTCTTAGATAAGATTGAATCATGGCCTACTGTAGACCTGTTCAAGCCATACTGCCCAGCAACGTCAGACATGCCCACTCTGATACTTTCGCTGCTATACTCTCACCTTTTAAAAATAAAAACTGACGCAAAACTTAACGAGTGCCCAGCTGACAGTCTTGTGAATACTATAAAAGAATTGTTTTTGTCAGAAAAATAGAAGGCTGGAATTACAAGGGAGAGTTCAAAGGTTCGGAAGAATACTATCCGATCAGTATATACCGGGTTGAGTGTCGATATCGCGCTCTGAAATGTTTTGAATTGTTGCCCGAAGACAAGGAAAGACCAATCAATATTCATTATTTTACGTCACTTCTTGTGCTTGTTCTGTGAGATGTTTGTTGTTCAAATATAAAAATCTTTTGCGAAAGTGTTTGTTATCCGATTTGTTCATTAACTGATCACCCTCTGTATTTTGGAATAAAATAATCAGTCTAGAGCAGGAATTGAACCCACAACTCCTGTTTGCCATGCAGTTGCGTTGCCAGTTATGCTACTCAGACTATCATTCAATCTTTGCTTCTAGAGTTATTAATTAATTAATTAATTTAGATATAACCATACAGGTTACTCATGGCACTCAGCTGACTTATACTTTATCCCAGGATGGTATATGTACTGTACATATGTATGCATGTGTATGTGTATATATATATATATTTATTTATATGTAAAAACAACGATCAACCTGATACATTTAGGTTTAATTTATGTACTGTACTGTACTGTACTGTACCATACCAGTAATGACATTATTGGTATGGCACATAAATTAATTTGACATCAATAGTGATACTAATTGCTTGAAACAGATTTTTGTTTTAGATAAATTAAATTAAATTCCTATAGTTAAAATTTATTTATTTTATTTGTTATTGATACAAGTACAAGTACTTCCATACAAGGGGAAAATAAAACAAAATTAATAAATACACAACCACACAATGGTTTCTTAATTATGCTTAAACAATACATTTAACACAAATAGTACAAAGATTTAATGAAAAAATTATGCAATTTATACATTACCTATAGTAAAAGAAAATTATAAAGAATTATTAATTTATAAATAGGATGCCGTATATAGAAATCCATGAACTAGTCTCTTACAGAGACAATGACTATTGGCATTCTTTATGAAATGTTTTGATGATAGAAAATGATCAGAATCTTAAATATTAATGAATAGTTAGTTTTTCAGGAATGACTTTTGAGTCTTTTGATGGTTTTACAGTTATTGGTTTGCTTAATCTCAAACTCTGCTTTTGACAATCAGAAATCATTTTTAAAACAAAATTTGATTATTTAATTATGAATCAAATTATTGCTTAAAATTAATATGACTATTAATGTCAAAACAAATTTAAAAATTTGTATTAATTTTAGTAGTTTTACAAATAAAATTTTAAAAAATGATATGATAATAAACCATTCATATAGATTACTTTTTAAATATATTTAGTCGAGGAAAATAATTTCTAAATGCATCCAGAATAAAATATAGTACGTCCTTTTTTTTTACAGGCAAACCTTTTGAACAACAATTTTTCAGAATAAATTTGAATAGCCACAAGGTCAATGTATTTTATTTCCTTGTTCAACAACTAACTGTCACCTGGTCACCGAGTTTAAAAATATTCCTAATTTTCGAAATTTACTCCTGTTAAAAAATTTCACAAAATATTTTCTATACTCTGCTTAGGTTAAAAATCAAGGTAAGAGTGAAATCATTAGAAAAGATTTTCTCTGTATTTAATTTAAGAAAATGATGAAAACCAAATACTGATTACAATAAGCGAAGTATTATATTTGCATTTCAAGTTATACATTTTGGGGGCTAGCTGGTTATGGTAACATTAAACGACTATTAACAATATCTCTGACTACAATAAGCAGATTCTATTATGTATCTTGAATAAGTTTCCACCAATCAAATTTCATTTTTTATGGAAATAAATGATCAGATTTTACTGTTTTCTAGATCCATACCTTTATTAGATACTAATTGTTTCTTGAGTTTTTTTTTACTATAAATTATTTTAAAATTTAGAAATATTACAGTATATTTCTTACTTAAAGCTTTATGCTATGAGATTTCATAAATTTTTGTATTGTAGTTGTTTATAATAGATAATTGTATATACCAAATATATAATAGGCCCAACACACTAAAGCACAATTGTTGTTTGTAATGAATGAATTTTTTTTATCTGTATATTTTATTTATCTATTACAATATAAAGAATTTCTATTAAACAATCATCTTTTTTATAATTAATTTTTTAGGAATCGTGTATTTTATTTTATTAAGTCGAGTATTTTATTTTATGTATAGTTTAAAATGTGTAAAGTGTAGTTTACATATTTTTTTAAGAAAATTGATTTATTAAAAAGGCTTGGGGTCTGTTTTCACTAAGACAAATATTCACATCACTTGAATAAAATATTAAATCCTACACATAATTTTTTAAAATAGAGAAATATTATGTAATTATTTCTGGATGATATTAAGCATTTTCAATGTATTAGGCATTATTCTGATGATTATGGAGAATAATGGTGTTTTTGCTAAAATTTTTCAGATAAGCTGCTTTATTTCATATTTTTTTATAATTATAAATTAGTTTTATTATAGAATTCATCTAATGAAAAATTTTAATAGAAATGTTTCATTCAGGAATTAACTATTTTGCTTGACAAAACTTTCATATATAATTTAGGAATTGAAGAGCTTGTTTATAAAACAAGTTCAGTCTATTGTATTCAGTTATTTGTAAAGTTTTCAGGTTATTTTTTGAAAGTGATCTTCAGACTGCAGAGTTTTATAACAAGGAAGTCAAACAAAAGAACATAAATATTTTTTTAAAAATCAGTATGTAATGCAATGTTTTCTATAAAAAGTTTAGATGATTAATCTCCAATATTATCTGACTGCTGCAGTAGACTTCTTTATGAACCTTAATTAATTATGACAAAATAATTATCATGTTATGACAGTCAACTGCATACTAGTTTTTAATCTGTTTACTTCATTTTATTTAATATTTCTTGAAATGTACTATTTTTAACTGATTAGATGAAAGATTCACTTAGGGAGTAAGCTTAGGGAGAACCACTGTAAAGGATACCCAAATTTAAAATTAAAATATAGGATAAAAATATTAGTAAATACATTACATTAATGATTTATTATCTTGCTTGTTGGACTGTGAGTTGAAAAAATTTTTAATTACTTCACTACACACCAGGTTGAATATATGACACGGGGTCGACACTTTAACCAAATAACCGGAGCACTTAAAAAAATTGCTGACTTATAAATTCCCACTGTCAACTGTCTGTTTGTCCTTCCTTAATCTCAAGAACAGAGTTAGATACACAAAAGTAAAGACCAGATATAGAAAGCTTAGGGGCAGGAGGCCTGATTAACTATATATGAACTTCCAATGCAAACCGAAAGTCACATTATTTCAATTCAAGCATTTTTCCCTGAAAAAAGTTAGATAAATGACTGGCATGTCTCCATTGCTAAAGGAAAAGTATGATGTATTGGTACAAGACACTAATTTGAGGTAGAGAGCATATATTTTAAATTAAAAGAATTAAAAATATGATTAAAAATTGCAGCCTATCATTGTGACAATGTCACAGTAAATAGTTGCTTGTTTTCTATAATTTATAATTGCAAACAAAAAGAATTAATAAATGAGAAGAGTTAAATTGAATCCTTTGAGGTATATTCCCATAATTATACATGTTACATGTGATAGGCTCTATAGAGTATGTCATATATTTACAGGTAAACTTGAAACTTTACAGATAGCTAGTGACAACTATTAACAGGTCTAGAATATTTTATCATGTGGTTTTTTTTATGTTTTGTGAGATTTAGCATAGAATTTTCTAGCATAAAGGCAAACATGGCATCTAGCAGTAGTATACACTCACTATCTCCTTATGAATTGTTGGAGTTATTTAAACAGTAGAATTGGAAAAAGGAAATGGTAAGGGAGCAACTCGCATTAACCAATTAATATAACTTCTTCGTGCACACCAGGGTATCTATAATAAATAAATAAAACCTACTTACTCGAGCCTCTAACTGGTGTGAAGAAATACAATAAAATAAACAACTTTGAAGAAACAAATGTTTTCTGAACACCTTCCGTGTCCTTCCTCAGGTAAAATGGCTGAATTCCTTATTCTAAAACACTTAAACAATTTTAAAAAGAACAAAATTTGAACAACGATTTGATTGTGCAATGTACACTACGCATGTGCAATGGACATTGCACAATAAGATTTGATATATATTCGAATGTTAACTGCCAGCTCGTTTGGAATAAAAAATGAAGCCTGAGGAAGAGCCCAGAAAGAGCTTTGTTCGCAAATATTGATTACTAGCTGTTACCCGTGGTTTACCCCGTGCGGAATTTGCAATTTGATAGAAATAACCCTCCCTCAATACTTCACTAAGATTCTCAACATTAGTTGTTACTATAAAAATAAAAAATTGCATCTAAAATAGTACAGTAGAAGACATTCTTTAGGTTAAGCCCTAATCCTCTCCCTCTCCCCCTGCTGGGGAATTTCAAAAAATCCCTTCTTAGTGTGCATTTTTATGACGTACCCTAACTGTGTACCAAATTTCATCTCTTTAGGTTCAGTGGTTTGCTCTGGGCAATGATGAATCAGTCAGGACATTTAATTTTATATATCACAAGTTCGGATACATGCACTGCATATCTCGCCAACCATGCGACTGTGCGTCGGCGAGACTGCACTGCGTCTTGCCCCTTGCCACCCACTGACACCAAAAATATAACGCTTATTTAGATGATATCTTTTAATTTATATGAATGTTTAATGGAATAATGTACAGCCTATGTCCACCCTGAAGGTCCATTCTAAATATTGGTGAAAGAATTTTTGAAATCTGATGAGTAATTTTGGAGATTACCTCCTACATACAAACTTACAAACTTTACCTCTTTATAATATTAGTATAGATATGCACTCCAGTTAATTGGTTAATGTGAGTTGCTTCATTTTTATATATTCATCCTGGTGTGTTGTGCAGTTAAGGAAATAGTACCTAGTTTATTAAAAAAAAATATGAATTATAAGACAAGATACTGATTCTTTTATAAATGTTACTTTTCTTAAAAACTAACTGATGCTAGGAGGAGAGGAGCCACTAGTAAACCCATTCATCAAAGAGTTAAATTTCTCAAAGAGCGATGGGAAAATTAGATGATATATATTTATGATAATTAATTGTAGTCTGCGAAAATGTAAATATTGACAAATTTCTTACGAACTGCAAATAATAATAATTAACAAAGAGTACATGTTTAGAAATTGTGAATAATTATTTATTAACTAAATTTTAAAGAAATTATTGTATTCTCTATATTTTTCTATTTGTTAATGATTCTAATCTTGACTGACCCAACAAATACAGGTATACCTCACCTTACGTCGGTAATTGGTTCCAGGAAAACGACGTAAGTCGAAAAACGACGCAAGTCGAATTTACTTGTCTCCGAATCTACTTGTCACTAGGCTAAACCATAAATTACCATTCCTGGTTTTGTATTTTATTTATTAATGCATTTTTAATAATATATGGTTAATAAAAATCTATTTTAAGCTTACAAACAAATAAATTTTAGTTTTTAATATAGTACAGAAAAAAGTATTCTAAATTTACGAATGCATGTACAGTAAATACAGAACATACTAGTATATATTTTAATATGATTTTATGTGCTTTAAACGCTTTTCTAGTGATATTATGATTTCAGTATTTGTGGCGGACGGATGTAAACTCGAATAAAATGACTTAAACTTGATATTTATTTTTCCATATACTTTTTTGACAAACGACGTAACTCGAAACGACGTAAGTCGAGGTATACCTGTACTTGACCGCTCGAACGGAAGCATTCAATTTGGAAGTGAAATAATGCTTCTGCATTGCAAATAATGCTAATATATTGAAAAAAAACTCATTAATTCATTAGGTTGTTTAATGTGTTGTGATAGCTTTATTAATCCAAAATATTTTTAAACAACAAAAAATTTATTATGTATAACTTAATAAACTTTAGACTAACAGCACAAGACCTTTCTCACTAATTTCTAGCCTTATTAACTGGAGTACGGGTAAGACGACACCTGGGTAAACATTGGCAGCATTTAAACTTCTTCTAACCGACGCTCCACAGTGTACCCGAAAAAGGCCTATTAAGAAGGCCGAAAACGTTTGTACTCCAGTTAATAAGGCTAGAAATTAGTGAGAAAGGTTTTGTGCTGTTAGTCTTAGAAATAGTTCTAGCTACATATGCATTAATAAACTTTAACCTACAGATATAATATTATACACTTAATTTTACTTGTTTTAAGATTAATATATATATAATATTGCTGCTTTAAGAAGGTTATTTTGTAGAACATTATAAAAGCTTTAGTATTTATAATTTCTTAATTAATTTGTATAAATATTTAGTTTGTTGATGAAAAAAATTTTATTTATATACAAAGTGATCATGAAAAATTTGGTGTTTAGAGCTATCTGTAAAAAGAGCTATTGGATAAATTCAACCAAATGTGCTGAATATGTGATATCAATTTTTAAGAAAAAATTTTACTGCAAAATTCAGCTACTAAGGCAAAATTTGGTGTGCTGTCCCGAACTTGCATATCATGTATGTTTTCTAACAAATTTTGGGTGTAAAAGGAGTTGCAAAATGTTCTTCACAATTTTTCAATAGGTGAATGGGTCATGGTGCTCACTGTTTTGTTGACAGAAGAGTTTAATAAGTAACATATATGTTACTTATTAAACTCTTTGGTCAACAAAAAAGCAATCCACATCTGTAATTCAAATAAAATTATTTGACTTTGTTTCTTAACTCCCAAAATTTGTTAGAAAATGCATATAATATACACATTAAGGAGAAGCAATTCCAAATTATGCTCTAGTGCATGAAATTTAGAGTAAGATTTTTTTTCTCAAAATTGGAACTGCATATTCAGGCCAGTATATTTGCTTGCAATTTGTCCAATAGTTATTTCTACAGAGTACTAAATGCTTACTCTTCAAGTATGATTATTATATATATTTAATTAGTAATTTATGATTTATTCAAAAACATATATAGGATAACATAGATAACATATATTGGAGTTTATATCAATACTTACAAATTTATATTATAAATTGGAAAATAAGACAATAAAGTTTTTTCCATTGCAGTTTGGCATTGAATATAATTTATTGTACTTATTAATAGTTTTTGATAACTTAAATATATTATTTATCATTATCTTTTGAATAGCAAGGAGGAAACTATCAAAACATCACTTAATTATAAGGAAAACATTATTTATTTGTTTTGATTTTAGTTGATCTTATCTTAATTTTTGTGTTCAGCAGTTTAGTAGTTGTATTAAATACTATATTTTATTTTATTTTGTGTAAAGATAAAAATGCATTTTTAATTAATTAATGTCAAGTAATTTAAATATATTTGTTTTATTTAAATAGATTTTGTAATAGAGAAGAATACAATAATTAGATAAAAATGGCAAGTCCGAGAACTCGTAGAGTATTACAAGATTTAAGACCACGAGATGATAATAACGTAAGTTACATCCTATCCAATTGGCTTTTCTTATCCTGATTGTTTTTAGCAAGCTTCTTTTCTCATTAATTCTTCTGAGGACTTCATTGCACACTTTATCCATCCATTTAATTTTGAGCATTTTTCACAAAACCCACATCTTAAATTCCCCCAGTTTCTTTTCTTTTACTTTTCTCAGCATCAGGTCTCTTCTCTGTACAAAAACACACTTCATACAAAACACTTTGCTATTCTTTTTCTCAATTTTAGGTCACATGATGTGTATGGTGTTTAAAAAGTAGGTTTTCAGCTGTAGGCTAACAGTAGTTACAATAGTATCAACTTTCTTGATTTAACAATATTTAAAAAGAATAAATATTTGTTATTTGTTAAAATGGCCAATCTACAAAAATAAAATACTACCAAAAAAAAAAAAAAAAAAAAGAGTTTTCTGTTGTCCTTTCTCACACCTCAGGAAAATAACAGTCTTATGGAGAATAAACATCTACTTACTAAAATATATAGAAAATACATTTCTTTTGATTCTTTCATAACATACTAATTTTTCTTTGAAGATAGAAAACCAGAAATTCGGAAGATCAGAAATATAGCTCAAAGGCATGGGTACAAGAGGCATTATAGTAATGAAAAAAGAATGAAGATAAAGAAGAAGAAAAGGATAGAAAAGCAGTAGTTCTAGTAGTTAAGGGGAAAATAACCTCAACATTAGTAGTGCCTTATGCAAAGAAGCTTCATTTTCCTTTAGCTGTCAGAACATCTACAATTATGACCATAATATATACATAGCAACAAAGAAAGTACAGGGATGATAGCATTAATTCCTGATATTGCTAGAAAGTTAACTAAGAAAAATCAAAACATCTACTACATAGGATACACCATACAATCTTTAGGTATCAGAATAATAGAGCATTTCCTTGCAGTAAGCTATATACCACAGACATCCTGTGTGTAGTAAACAGGTTATTTTTGAATTTTGAATAGGTACACCATTTGAATATCATACAGAATCTTATCTTTAATGGGGATTGACCAATTTATTATGTAAATAATGTATGTGAATACGGGGGCGTAAGGCTCCCGTTCACTTGTCAGGATGATATGTCAGGCGAGTGAAAGGAGAGTTGCTTGGGGTCGACGATAAGGTGAAGGGCGAGATCGAGTAAAGGAGTCTACCATATTTTTAACTAATAAAAATAACAATTTATTAAAGAAGCAAAATGGACAAAAACTACACAAACAGCGTTTCTATACCGCTCTAGAGAGAGTTTCACAGTGCTTTCATACCTCTTATAGCCGTCCTCTTTGACGATTCTGAACGTGGATGGATTTAAAATATCGGTCCAAGGGAATAGGTAGTTATAATCCACAAATACAGCACAAAAAAACCAAAACCCTAAATTAAAACAGTTTTTTTTTTTTAACAATTCAGAATGTATGTAATGTAATTTAAATATCTGTTTCATTGATTATAAAGGATTGTTGAAAGGATCAAATAACTATTTTCATTTATAAATTAGCCTCTTTTTAGGCTTTTGGTTTTATACATTTTTTAGATAATCTTATCTTTAGTTATTATCTTTAGTTCTACTTTCAAATTATAACCTTTTAATTTTATTAAAACAGTAAAGTTATGACTCTCTGTCATTCTGTTAATTTTAATTTTAAAGTGTTGGTTTGATACCATTTTATTCTATTTTCTATCAGAAAGTGTAAACTCATTCTCAAAGGATTTGGGGCCAAATCTGATATATAAATGTTTCCAAGACAAAACAATTTGAAATTTTTGATATCCTTAATAACCAGATTAAAAGTACATTCAGGTATTTCTCATATAATGTGATTTTGCTCTAACACAGTTCAAGAATTTGGGAAATATTTTGTACAAATTTTCACAATTATTAAGTGCAAATTTCTTTATTAGATATTTTTTTATTCAAGTAAGCATACACGTTGTCTCAAATTTGCCCATGAATTTTAAAATGTTGAAATTTTCAATTTGTGTTGTGCCTATCATCAGGTTTAATGAAAACTTATAGTGCAATTTTCTTTCTTCCTTGTTCTAGCTTTCCTATCAACCAGGTGTCAGTTGTTTTCAGATTTTAGTCTTTAAGACTGTCGTGTGTTTTGTTTTTGTAGATTAATATTCATGTTTATTAAAGTTTATTTAAACACTTTTACGTAAGTGTTGTTAACTTTTTTTAACCATAGGAAAGTAATCATTTGTAAAAATGATGAATGAAATACAGCAGTATCTCAGTACTCGACCAAACAAACGTGACCCTCTAGAACGCATTTTTGATTAAAAACATATTTTAATTTTTATTTTGACATACATAAAAAATTTTATGGTAAAAATAAAAAGAATGATGACATTGCTGATATTTCTGAACAAAGTCAACAAGAAAGTTGAGATGACGATACTGTTAAAGCAAAATGCCCTTGTTTAACTAAAATTAATATTAACATATTAACACATAATATGATACTTTTAATTGTGATTATTAGTTAATTATCAATTGCTTTAATAAACATATTTCTCTTAATAACGAAATATAATAGTTAACTTTTGGAACTTAACCTCATGTTTTTCATAAGTTCTTTGTTTCATATAGCAAAGGTTTGCATTATACGGCACTTTTCCGGAACATAATTGCCATCTTGTTATATGAGAGATACCATATATTAATATGATGCCAAGTTTTAAGGACTCTAATGGTTTTCTTACTTTATTTATATAAGACAAGAAAATCTTTGAAAATAGCAGCTTATATTTTAAAGAACTATTGTTTAGTTTAAATTAAGTATTTAAAAAAAACCTAGTTTTATTTGAATTGATGATTTAGTAATTATATTATTTTAGAATTGTTTTGAATGTGGTGCCCATAATCCCCAATGGGTAAGCGTGACATATGGAATCTGGATATGCTTAGAATGTTCTGGAAAGCACAGAGGTCTTGGTGTTCATTTAAGGTTTGTATTGATATTTTAGCATTATACTGTTTTAAATATTAATTATTTATTATTAAGACATCGTTAGAAAATAAATGTACTTTGTGACTGTGTTTAATATAACATATTGATGTAACTAAAGATATAAAAAAGTAAGAAATGTGATCAAATTGACTTTTTCTTTAATCTCACACATTTCTTAATTCTGCTCATTTATTACACAATATTTGTTTGTTTCCCATATTTGTTTGTTCTTTTATAAAATAAAAATTTTTAATTGAAAACAGTATATTTAAAATGTTCAGATATGGTCTGGTCTTTTTCAGATATGATTATTATTTCAAAAACTTTAACAATTGTTTTGTTAAACCTTTTGTTTTCAGTATTGGTGATTATTGCACACTTTAAAATTTATACTAATTTAGAAATAACAAGATAGTTCCTAGTCAAACATGACAGGGAACTATCAATTGTTAATGTGTTTGAAATAATAATCATACCTGAATAAGATCAGACCATTAACTACCTTAGGGAATGGTCCAGTTTTTTGTCCTGGTCAGATCGGTAGGAGCACTCTTTTTTATATATTACCTTAGCATAGGGAAAAGGGTGAAATGCATTTATTCCATTCTCTTCCCATAGTTAATATATTATGTTCCCATCAAATGATACTCACTTTTTAGACTGATCTGATCGAGATGACATGGCAGACCATGACTGTATAGATGCTTCTGCCATTTGTATCCCAGATACGAAAACATACCAAAAATTTTACAGCTCTGAAAAAGGTTTCCTCGCTGTTTTTTCTGAGTAATAGAGACCTTAATGTTCTTTCTGTTTCTTGAATGAGATAAGGCAACTTATAAATAAAAGAATAACAAACAGACTTTGGTTATTATATTAATAATAATAATAACATTAATAACAACATATCAATAAAAATAATTATAAATAACAATTAATACGATGTGTTATTTATAATCTGTGGAATAAGAAAAGCAACAAACAAACAGACTTTGGTTATTATATTAATACCAATGCTCTTATCAGTCAGAATTGTTTCATTGGTTATTTAATAGCAAGGTTGTGGCCAAAGTTTTCATCTCTAAAACGTGAATGTCGAGTGCCACTATTTTGTAAGTGGTGCTCGACATTCACGTTTTAGAGATGAAAACTTTGGCCACAACCTCACTAATGTGAATAAGCAAAATTTTTATAGAAAAGTTTTAAATATTATTTTTTAAGTTAAATGTTACTTCACATGAATATATTACACTATATGTAACATTCAACTTGAGGTTATAAAGTTTTATATACTGCTCCATAATAATTAAATAAATATATACAGTTATAAACAGTCAATTATCTAATTCTTAATATAATATTATCATTAACTAAAATTAATTAGAAGTGTCTTCATTTATAACTCAAAGACATTGAAGATATAATAAAGCGGGTGAAATTAAAGAATTTTTATATTCTCGTGGTATATTTAAAGCATACAAGCACATCAAAATAAATATGGTATTTTGTTTGTTATTATTATTGTAGTGGGTTATATTTGGTTGACACTGGTTGCTGTGTACTATGCCAGACCAGAATCAAGGTACAACAACCAAAACAAAACAAAAATTAAATAAATATGTCTGTGTGTCTGTATTCAGGAATTTCCTAACAATATGACATATATTCAATATAGCAGTCTTCTGTAGTGTGATATATGTGTTTCTATTCAACTGTAATGTTCCCAAGCTTTTGTGTAGTGTGTGTTATAACACCTGTAGAGGAGAGAACAACAGGTGCAATAAGCACCCTATCAATCCTCCACAAATGCCTTATTTCTTGGGCAAGTTCTATGTATTTGCTGATTTTTCTGTGCTTGTGTTTTGTACATTGTGAGTGTTTGGAATGGATATGTTGATAATGTATGTGATTTTATTGTGTTTGTCAATGAGTGTAATGTCTGGTCTGTTATGGTAAATTGTTTTATTTGTGATTATGGCTCTGTCATAGTACATTTTGTGTGTGTTGTTTTCCAGTACTGTCTGTAGAATGTATTTGTAGTATGGTTTATAGATGTCTTGGTATATTATATTTGCTACTTGATTATGTCTATGTAAATGATCTGTCTGTGCCAAGAGTTTGCAGCCAGAAGTGATGTTGTATAGTTTCTGGCATGATGTGACATTTGTGAGTGTTGTATCTTTGAGTATGTGTTTTCTGTAGTTTTTAGTATTTATACATAGCCAAACGATCACCTTAGATACTCAGGCTATAAATTTGCTATTTTAATAATTAATACTTTATAGCCCACGTATTTAAGGTGATCGTTTGGTTATGTATATATATTGGGCTTAGAGTTGTTTAATATACTTATATTTTTAGTATTTGTATTTGTGATTGTTTTCTGTAGTTTTTAGTATTTATGACTTATTATTATTCTTATTATTATATGTAACTTACATGAAGTGAAAGAAAAGAGTGCGATAATCATATTAGGATTTTAAAATGAAATATAACTGTGTTTTCAGCTTATATTATGTATGTTTTTCTTCCAACTAGTTTATACAATATTAGATATCTTACATATTTTCAAATTATGAAATAGAACAAATTATTATGTGAAAATTCAATAAATAACTCATCAAAAAACATTTCAATAAAAAGTTACGAGTATTGAAGTTATTAAAATTGTATGTGTAATATTGATGTTATGGGGAATTTTTCAGTGAAATTCTTTAATTTGGGGAAATTTTGCTTTGGCAATAATTGACTTTATCTATCTGGCAACTTGCTGAAGAAGTATTGAAGTATTTATGGCACAGTAGATATATTCATAGTATTCAAGTTTTTTATCAACAAGATATTTGAGATCTCAAATAGTCAAATACTTTCTAGTATTCAAGTATTCACAGATAGTAGTTGTCCATCTCATTTATTTATTTATTTTTTGTTAATGTTATGATAAAAAATTTTTATTTAAAGAAATTAATTGATTAATATATATGTATATATAATTTTATTATATTACATGTTGATTTGAAATAATTTTATTTTAAAAAAATAACATTAATAGTATTTCCCTTCTTCTAGCTTTGTTCGTTCTGTGACAATGGATAAATGGAAAGATATTGAATTAGAAAAGATGAAAGTTGGAGGAAATAAAAAAGCTAAATTATTTTTAGAAAAACAGTCTGATTGGGATGCCAACTTGCCACTTCAAGAGAGATATAACACAAAAGCTGCTGCTTTATACAGAGATAAGGTTTGTTATATATCTAGGTGTATTATAAATTTGTAATTTATAAACAATTTAAAATGGTATTGATTTAAATTTAAATGTTTAGATGTGTAATTTAATGTATAAAAAATAATAAATATACTTTTCAGATAGCAACAGAAGCTCAAGGGAAATCTTGGTCAATTGAAACTTCATCAGCAAAAAATTATACACCCCATATCATTCCAAAAAACTCATCTAACAATAGTCTACATTCTTTAAATTCAACTGGAAATTTTTCTTATCAAGATTCTAATAGTAACAGTCAGTTTGAAGAATGGGATAGTTTAGGTTCAGGATATCAAAGGTATTAGTTTAATTCTTTTTTATATTAATGTTTTACTAACTGAGAAAAACTAATTGTTTCTTAAAGAAAACATTCATCAGTATGTTCATTCTAAATTAAACGTTTTTACCTCTCTGTGTTTTTTCACTGAAAATTTTATGTATGGTACTTTCTTATGTGCTTTATTTTCTTGTAATCATAACAATAAGGCCAGCAGGCTCATAGTTATTTATTACTAATGTAATCACTTCATTTACAACTTATTTAATCTATATCTGATAATTCCTGTCAATCATTCATTCCTGACAAGGACCACATTGGCCAAACTCATTTAGCTTCAGGTCATTTTTAAAAAATTGCTTTCATCCTGAGGACAGTAAGTGGCTTTTTTTTATGCTCATTGTGGGTTCAGTAAAGTCCACCATGGGGATGGCTGAATGATGGAGGACAGGGCTTGACCTATGGAACAAACTGCTAATGAAAAATTTGAGATTCCTAACCCAAACTTGAACCTGTGTCTCATAGTGATGCCTTTACTTGCCTTGGTCATCCAGCCATTACTACAGATATTGACACTTAAACTTTTTACTGTTTAATTTTTTTTGTTTTGGTTATTTTAACATATTTTATAAACAAAGCTATAAAAAAATTTTGTCATTTAATGCCCAGTTTATATTTTTGACACTTAATTTACTTTATACAGTTTTATTTCAAATATACCTTTTTTGTTTAGTTTCATTTATTTTATAATTACATTTAAAAGAACTACTAATGGAAATAGAATTAGAGGAATGGGGAAAAAGTAGAATGTTTGAGGTAATATTTTCTATTTCATGATGAACTCAGGATATTTTTCTTCCAAATTATAAATTAGAAGTTCAGACTATTTACAAAAAATTATTTAATTTTTTGAGTCTATCAATTAATCCTTTTCACGCACCATAGAAGTACACCTTTTACATTGGTTTGAAGAAATCTATCTAATTTATAATTTGGAAGTAATATTTTCTATGCTACATACTGGTTAAGGATCATGATTTCAACGGCTAGTTACCATATTTTCACGAAATTACTGGCATGCTGCATATAAATGGGAGGAGACCAGCTTGCCAGAAACCCCAGGGTTACCAGCATGCCAGTTAAGGATCCATTTACACACAACAGTGGCATGCCGGCACAGTGATTGTTTGGTGACAGTGACGTTGAGCATGGCACAGTGACGAGTATTTACACACAACAGTGATGTGACGTGCTCAGTGAGTGTTCATGGACTTTACTGAGGATGAATTGGCTATGATAGCTATATGTTTGGATGAAGAAGAAAAAGAAATGAGCTCAAGAAATCACCGCAAGTGGGTACATCAAGTATGGACAAAAAATATCAACAGAATGGGAGTTTCCATACTCTTTATAAAAAATTGAGATGATGAATCTATATTTTTTGAATATTTTCAAATGTCCCAACACACATTTCATATTTTATTAAACAAAACAGAGAAAATATTCATTTTGTATCCAATGTCCATATATTTCGAATGAGATAAATCAAATCGAACAGGGTGTTGTTGATGCACCATTTCAGTTAAATGTTCGTCATCCATTGGTAAATTAAATTTATCGTTGGTGAAAATATCGTTTTCGTCAAATGTACTTTCACGGTACAGTCACGCCAATGCCACTGTACAGCACTGTGACGGACGAGTCTGGACAGGGTGGTTTAAAACTAGGTCAATGATTTCCCACAGGCAAAAATTCACTGCACTGTACCAGCACATCACTGTTGTGTGTAAATGGACCTGAAACTGCAATTAAAATATGAAATTAATCAGATCTAACAAAATAGTTGTTAATTAAATGTTAAAGAAAACATTCTTCTGAGTACAATAAAATAATAACATTGTAATTTGATTGACTTAAAATTGGGAAGAGTTTTCATTTACAAGACAATAAAACAATAACAACTTATTGACAGTGATAGTAGTAGCAGTAGTAGTAGTTAGTCAGTGTGAGCTACACTGACCATTTATCCTGATTTTAAAAATAACATCTTCCTCTAAAATTTCACACAAAGTGGATGTTAATATGTGTAAGGTGAGATAATTTACAGCAAGTTTTTTAAATTTAATATGTTTATTTTTGCATTTTTGAATTAAATAACAATAAAATACATAATAAAAAGAGCACTTTCAGAATTCTGCGAGTATTTTACAATATTAGAAAGAAGAAAAAATGAAAAAATTAAATGTATAATTGTAGTTTTTGATGTAATGCCAATAGTTTCATAGTTTTAGAATAAAAATGCATTTGTTATTTTTGTTTTGTTATGCACCCTCTAGAGAGGGATTGGCATGCCGGCATTCCCAGGGATAAGCTGGCATGCCCATTTTTATCGTACGGAAATGTCTGATTTTGTGGTCTTCCCAGATAGACCAGCAAGCCAGTCATTCTGTGAAAGAAAATATGATATGAGATATGGAGTTTATCCTGCATCTCCAAATTTTCAAAATGTTGCATGTTATTTTTGTGGTTTTATTTTGCATTGGTATGAGTTATAAGCTGCCGAAGATTATATGCAGAAAATTATTGTATTTATTATCAAAATTGATGGTTTAAAGTAAATATATAATAAATTTTTATAAGATTTTTAAAATTATATTTTAAAAGAATTTATTAATTTTATGAATTTTTTGTTGTAGATTATTTTCAAAAATAATTTGTAAAATTAAGAAATGTAAATTGATTTATTATTTAATCAAATTTATTATACAGGGTGTCCAAGAAAATCTACATTATTAAAAAATTTCATTTAAAAAAATCTGTGATTTATTTACTATTGAACACAAGACTGTGTTATTATTAAAACACTTGGCGTTTATCCACTTTATTCAGTTGAATAAAGTGGATAGTCAACTGAATAAAGTGGATAAACGCCAAGTGTTTTAATAATAACACAGTCTTGTGTTCAATAGTAAATAAATACGAAAACACGGTTTCAAAAAACGAAAAATCTGTGATTATCAAAATGTGATTTGTGATAAAAGAGAGACTAACTAGCAAGTTTTTCATTATGGAAATTAATACAAAAGCTGAAGTTGTTATGCATATATTTAGTGAACCTCAACATGTGTGTCTTTAGTTGCATGAAGAATGCCTGATCGAAAATTGATTTCCTGCCAGGTACAGTTTCAACAGGACAGTGCATCATCGCACTGGGCTCTTTTCTTACATAATTTGCTTGATATAGTGTTTCCTTGACAATGGATTGGCCATAGGGTCAACACTACTCCCGTAGATTGCCTGATATACCCAACAGGATTTCTTTTTGTGGAGCCACATGAAAGACATTGTGTACTAAACACCTATTCCTAATATTACTATTTTGAAAGAAAGGAAGCCCTTGCAATATCCAATGTTACACAGGAAATGCTAAACAACCCTGGCAGGAAATCAGTTATCAATTGGACATCCTTTGTGCAACTGAAGGAATACATGTTAACTTTTGTACAGTGTGTTAGTCAGAAATGGTGTTATCACGATGTAGTGGAGAATAAACATTGGAAATTTTTAAAAAATTTTCCATGTTTGGCCCCATAGCCAATCCATTGTCAACGAAACACTATATCAAGCAAATTATGTAAGAAAACTGCCCAGTAAGATGATGCACTGTCCTGTCAAAACTGTACCCGGCAGGAAATCAATTCTTGATCAGGCATTCTTTGTGTTTATCTAATTTCTGTTTCACAAAAAAAATTTTAAACAGTTATGTCTAGTAAAGAAAAATTTTTTTTTATTGTCATGTAATTCCATTTTTTATGTGAATTTTTTTTTCGCAGTAGTTTTTGGCTACTTTTTGGTGATATTTGCAAAATTTTTTTGTGGATATAGACGTCGTTCTCCAGTGCCACATGATTGCTCTTGACAGGTATATCCATCAATCACTGCAGAATGGTTAAGGTTCAGTGAATGTACACAAAACATTTTCAGCTTTTACATTAATTTTTGTAATATAAAAAAAAAACTTTTTGAGTTAATTCTTCTTTTACTACAAACTGCATTTTGATAGATTGTATCATATTTTTAAAATGAAGTTTTATAATAATGTAAATTTTTATCAGATATCTCGTATTTTGTTAAATCTAATATATTTAATTTCGTGTTCTTATAATTACATTAGATCATAGATTAAAATAAATTGTATGAAATATATTAAAAAAATTTTATAATGTATTACAGTAAAGAATTAATTATTTATATTTTTAAAATAACAGAAATATTATTAACATTGCATTTATATATATAAATGTAATTATTTATAATTCTTTTAGCAACATTCCTTCTAATCAAGGGAGTCGTTATACAGGCTTTGGCTATTCTGCACCTCCACCTCCTCGTAGTCATTCTCAAGAAGTATTTGATGGAGCTATGGCTTCGTTGTCTTCTGTAAGAATTATCTTACTACATCTTAACTATTTTAACTTATTAATAACTATTGTATGTATTATGTAATAGTTGTCTTTCCATAAGCTATAATATAAAATTTGATATTTAATTATAATCAGAAGAATTATTTCAATACTTCAGTGTTTTTTAAGAAATTTTTATTCAGTTTTATTAATATAGCAGCATTGAATTTAATTTTTAAAAAAATTAAATTTAGGGCTGCTATTTATTGATTTCTGTATGCCAAATTGCAGATCTGGCCCACACATTAACAGTTTTAGCATTTGATGCATAATACTTTTCAGTTTTATATATTTAATAATTAATAAAGATGATGACAATTTCATGATAATTTATTAATATGAAGTAACAAGAGTATCATTATTGTGTGTTAAATATTGTTGAAATAAATATTTTAACAAATTGTGAAAATGGTGTTGGTAGAATCAGAATTGAAATTAATTTTGGGTGGAGTCTGATTTGGAGTTGCTAAAAATGTACAGACATCAACTCTGATCTCCATGTAAAATAACAAGAAAATACTATTTTAACATTTTCATATAATCTTTTCTTTTTCTCTTAGTATTAAAAATGTATGGTAATTTTTGTTCTTATTAAGTTTCATTATTGTAATATCACTAAATTGGGAAAATAAAGGAAAAAAGTTCTAAAGATACAGTTAAAATAACCATTAGGCATACTTGAATATAGGTTAAGTCTAAAAGAGTAGCCTGATTATTCATATGATGGTAATGAAATGTCATATAATATCAATTACCATTATTAATATACATGTATGTTGATATTTTATGAAGAAATAGTTAGAGATATAAAAATTAAGAAGCTGGATTACAGGTTTTGTAGTCTGGCTGTACAGTTCTGGTTGAAGTAAAGTAAATAATTATTAGTAAAATATATATATTAATTTTCAAAATACAATAGAAACTTGTTTATCTGAACTGTTTTCAAAAAAAAAAGAAAAGAAAAAAACTAGAATGTATAACATTTTACCACAAATAGAATATAGAGACTAAACTCTCTGTGTAACTGACAATTACTAGTGCAATCAATTGTAGTGCTACAAAACTAGTTCATATATGTAACATTATGTAAGGTTTTGAGTAAAAATTAATTTACCTTCAAATATAGTAATTGTATTACAGTATTTATAGTTCATGAAACTTTAAATGCATGGTGCTTGATGTATTCAGAAAATAAAAACAAATGAATTTCTAGATTATTTGAAAATTTGTTCATCTGAAAGACCTCTTGTCCCATTGAGTTTGAATAATTGAATTACCACTTTTTGATTTTGAATTTAATTTATAGCTTATGTTAATTGAAAATCTATGAATTTACTGAATAAATAATAATTAAAAAGTTTCAAACAATTTATGATAAGTGTTTTAACATTGTCTATTTTAAAAACAAATTTAATATTTTTAAAATTTGCTTTTATATTGATTATTAGATAATCTAAATTTGAAGTTATATTTATATGTTTATTTTTAGGGTTGGTCAACATTTGCTTCTGGAGCTACTAAATTTGTTTATAAAGCATCAGAGGGTGTAAGTATTTAATTTGAGAGTGTAATAATGTGAATAAACAACTTTATTTAAACAAATGATAAGTTTAATCAGTTTTGCACAATCATTAAATTAATCTGATAAACATGAATACTTTAATAACTTTATCATATTTTTGTTATTAAAAAAATCTTTAATTTTAACCATAATTACTAAATTTAATGACTGTTGATGATGTGAATTTTGTTTTGGCTGAATTTTATGATGAATATAAGTGATTCAGAATTTTTGACATCAAGAAGGTTGTGCCTACTACTCGAATTTTGCCCAGTTTAGGGATGGCAATGATATGGGTTGTAAGAGGAATAAGAGGATGGAGAAGGAAATGATGAGATCCAGTTAGAAATAGTTGTTCAACATGACTTAACTGCACAACACACCAGGATGAATATAAAAAATGCGACTCACATTACCCAATTAAATTTTGAATAAAAAAGAAACCTGAAGAACCCAGAAGCGGTTACAAAAACGTTCACAAACATTAATTGTAATAACACTGGTTAGTTGGTTAATGTGAGTCACACTTTTTATGTTGTTCAACATGGTTGGCTGTGTTACAAACATTCATTAAATAACATTTAAGATCATACAATGTGTGCATTGTAATGTCCTTAATGCATAAAGAGAGTTTACATTCATCATTACATTCATTGCAAATTACAATACATTCAAAGTCAACTTAGAACTTTCCCCATTGAAATAAAATACAAAATAACTAATTTTTGATGTTAGAAACAGTTCTTGGTGCAGTAGAGTTTGAAGTTTTGTCAATGATTTCCCATCAGGTAGTGCACAAAATAGTTCTTAATGAGAGAATTGCAAGAGTCTGGAGATGATTAGCACACAATTCAGAAGAATGGAAAGATGCATAAACAGTTTGGAGAATGGGTGATGACTGAGATTTGGCCAAAATTATTGTACTCACAAGTGACATTGTCCAATCAGAAGGTTTAGAATGATACTTCCTTAGAATTGCTTCTTGTGAGCAAAGTGTGACTAATGAGTTGAACAAGGTAGCTGTGTCACTCCTGTAGGAAGTTTATATGTTTTGTCTTCTAACGAAATCATATCATTGAAAGCTGTGACTTTAGACTTAGCAAACATTTAAAAAGATTTTATTAAAGATTTTTTTTATTCTCACAATAGATGTTAATTTCTGTCGTGTTAGTAATGCTCATTAAATTATTTCATATTCTTCTGTGTATACAATTAACATTTCTTTGAATACAAAATTACTGAGCTAACATTTCCCAATCTTTGAGTTTCATTGCAGACAGTGAGTAATCACTCAAATATTAACTAGGGTAGTAATTGCTTCCATACTTGCTTCTGTATTGCCTATTACTTTTCTGGTATCTGTTTATCAACATATTGCAACTCTAGAATTGATATGCTATAATCTTTTTACAGACTAAGTATAGAAATCCAAGACTTTCTTCTACATAAAGTGGTCTCTTAAAAATGAGATACAGTGAAACCTCCATTAACAGACACTTTTGAATAATGGACACCTCTACTTAATGGACATTTTTACAATCCCAGACCCTTTAAATAGGACATCTGTAATATTTACTCCTAAATAATGGATACTGTTGTCCATAACCGACCTTATGAAAACGTAAAGTCTTCAATATTTCAAAAGAATTTATTATGTATGAAGTATTTTAAAAGAAAAACAAACAGTCAGTTGAAATACTCTTTCAGATGATGAATTTTGACTGTAGTAGGCATCAGATAAAGATTGGCTTAAAATAGGAATAGAAGGAGGAGGGCAGGTTATAAGAAGTCAAACAATATTCTTTATCTGTTAGATAGGTTTATTCTGGTTAAGTTGTCAATCACCATTTATTGTCATACATATTATATTAACATTATTAAACTTCTATCTTATTGTTGGAATTAAGCTTATAATACTAAAAAATTATGAACTTTTCTGAAGTTTCATTTAATAAGAACTGTAGTATATTAGTAATGAGAAAGAAGCTTAAGATCATAAATGATGTCATAAATACAAGAAAACCGAATATCTATGTGCATTTTAAAGTGGTTGGCAAATTGCCTTTGTAACACGACCTTTGAACTTTTATCAAACAGATGTTGTCATAACTGTTTTAACAGCTTTGTGGTGACTAAAGTGTAATTTTTAATAAATCAGTTACTGAAAAAAGCAAAATTGTTTAAAAAGTTGCACCTACTTGATAACTACAAAGCATAAAAATCCCTGTATCAATTTTTATTAGTTGCTTAGATCATAAGTGTTACAATTCTGAATATATTTCACACCCCTTGAAATAACCTTCATAACTCAATATTCAAACAAGATTTTTATGGCTGAAAAAATAATATATTTTATATATATATTTTAATTATATATGCTACATATGCTTTTTGGTATATTCACATTCCTGATGCAAATTTCATGTTTTCATAATCCATTGTATTCTTCACTTTGTAATGGCCAGGTTAAAATAAAATATGGCCACTAGCATATACCTTTGAATAGCAGAAAAACTTCTTGGTTCTGGCAAAGAAATGAAATCTTAAATTTATATTAATTAATTAATTTTAATTTGAGTCATTATAAATGTTTGAATACTTACATTTTTAATTATCAGTGAATTCATATTTAGAGATATAGTCAAAGTAAAAAAGAAACAAGAAAATTGGGAATTTTATGATTATTGTATACTAAATTACCATATTTATTCAATTATAAGCTGACCCTAAGAAATTGAAAACAAAAATTTAATGATTTTATGGATAGTAGAAGAAATAAAAGATGAAAATTTATTAATCAAGCTTAAAGAATAAATTTTCCACCATTTAATTGTTTATTTGCTGTCTTCAGATGACTCGGAAATGTCATCACTTGATTTTTTGTTACTGTCTTTGTAGAGAGCATTGTCTTCTATGCCGTTGAGTGCATTTCAGATTGAATACTTTTTAAACACACTAGTGATGACTTCTCTAGAAATATTTTTCCATGCATGCATACAAAATTTGCAGAAAAAAATATATAAAATAAAGCTGGAAAATATTGGCTTCTGGTTGATATTTTCCAGCTTTTGATGATATTTTTCCAAACTTTTAACTATATTGGTAAAGGGAATCACGTATTTTACTGACTGTAGTAATGTTACCAATTCTAAACCCAGGGACATTTTTTGAACTGTGAAAAAATTAAAAAAAGGTTGGCTTGCAATTGGGTAAATAAGATACTTTGTTTTCTGTTATGTAAAGTTATAGATTATTGTACTATTGTTACGATTACAAAAATATTTTAGTTTCACTTGTATTGAGAAAAATGATTCTGGTAAATCAATATTTTTGTGAATAACAGTAATTCATTGAATTATCAAACTTATATTTCTCAGTCTATAAGAAAAATTTAATAATTTTATAGATAGTAGTATTAAATTTTTTATACGTTTTTGTATTTATTTGCCTTATTTAATTTCTTTTTAAGGTTGTAAAATTAGGATCTGCTGCATCTCAGAAAGTAACAGAAATTACAGAAACTGTAAATGAGAAGGTTTGTTAAAAAATAAGCTTTTTTTTTCATATTAAATTTACAGAGTTATATGCAATACAAATATACTGTATAATATAAAATACAGCATATTTGTCTGTAGTATCTTATGATATAGGAAATTTGGCAATTAAAAAGTAATGTCTTTCTAGTAGTCTTTTAACACAACTTGCTCTTCCATTCTGTATGAAATACAGATAAAACAGTTACATTTTTTACTGACTGACTTATTTTTGGTTATTTCATTATTTGGAACTATATAAAAATTAAGTCGAAACTCTGCCTGTTGTTAAAAGTGAATTGATTAATTTAACTATATAAAAATTATAAGTGTCACTCTAAATTTCAAAATCTGAAAAATTTGTAATTTAATAAGTGAACACTTGATTTTGAAAAATTAATATTTAAATGGAAGAAATTTCAATTGTTATTTATGATGTTTTATATTCACTTCATAATTTTAAATTGTTATTTGTTACTTTAATTATTAATTTGGGTAGTAAAATAGAGGTTAATTATATAATCTACCAGGTTCTTTTGAAATTTTTACTGATCACCATTAAGTGATTAAAGTAAAATAATATAAAAGATTTCAAAATTTGAATGACAAAAAAATTACAGTATGATAGTTCAAAAAGTTTGTGTATTTCCTAAGACAGTTTTTACTTGCATGTTTGGCCATTTATATTTTAATATATTGACTTGCTTATCAACATTATTTGTAAGTATATACCCCATATTTTTTTCAGATTTCTCAGATATCAAATATGGCTTATAGAAAATTATTTGAGAAATTTATCTTTTTTACCATCTTATTTTTAAATGAAAACATATATTAAAGAAATTTTTATAAATTTCTTTCCAAAGTTAAATTATGTAAATATTTAAATTAATTTCTGTGATTTATTAAATGATAGTAAAAGACTTCCCAGAATTACATTAAGACTTCCTTTAGTACTTAGGATGCATTCCTAGATGACAAAGCATTAAATGAAACAGCATTAAACGAGGTTTTAACACACAGTAAATGGGGAAAGGGGAACACTCTACCAAAAATAAACAAATTTTACTTTAATTTTAAGTTACCTGTTATGTTACTATTATAGTCTGCATTAACGAATTATAAGTGTCCTTCTTCAATAAGACAAGAGCCCTGCTTTTATCTGCCTTGAGGACGATGATGTTTTGATCAGCCAACCATTTCTTGGGCCTTGAGATCACACATGGAAGTACTGCTATGAAGGAACTGGCAACTCCCGCATCAGCAGTTAGTAACCACATCCCCACCCTCCTTTGGTTTGTATGTGTATGTGTTTATATGTTAGTGGTTATATCAATGTTTGTACTACGTATACTATTCTGTCACCATGGTAATGGTAACACACATGCATAACTGTTTACATGCAAGCTTGGAGTGTTCCATTGTTTTGAAACCTGCTTGTGCTGTTCCAGATTTTTTGAAAATAATTTCATAATTTTTGTTCTTCAACTTCACTTGTTTGAATCTCATTGGTTTTTTAAACCCAAAGAAGACCAAAAGTAAGGTCGAAAGCATTTGTTTTCTATTAAATATTTAGTACTTGACTTAAGGTTTTTGAGTGTTAATTAATTAAAAAGTAGTTTCGGAGGATAATTCACTCTTTCAGTTATGGCTTAAAGTGGTTCCAATGTCAACTTGGCATTTACCATTTTCCTACCGCCTCGGCACCTGCATTTTAATGTCGAGCGAAATGCTTTTTTGTGTCATCTTTGTTTTAACTGTGTTATCTTTACACCCACTCATTTGAATAATCTAAAAAATTACAATAAATTACAAATATATTAATGAAATTGAACTAAATTGAATATATATTAAAATTTGGATAATAAGGATAAATTTCATAACCTCAAATAATAAGGATTAATTTTTAATGAACAAATAGGATTTTTATTGGTTTTCTTACATGATAATATTGATGATTACAGCACATAAATTAATAATGTTTTACGCAGCACTCCAAATCATATTGATAGAGTGGACACTGTTTCACTGCTAATGAACATGATGTTTGAAGTTATGAAAGTAAAACTTTCATAACTTCAAATTTCATAATCTCAAACTTTCATAACCTCAATAACCTAAAGTAAAACTTTCATAACCTCAAATTATCATTACACTTACAAATTGCTACTCTCCATCAGTTGTTTGTTAATATTATTTACAAAGTTTCAGTTTTTTATATAAATTAGTTATGTTAATTAATAGAATAATTTTGACAGGTATTTATATTAATATTTACTTGGTGATTTTAGATTTTCTTTAAAGGCAGTGAAGCACCAAAAATCCAGATTTGGTTGTTGAAAAATGGATAATGAACCTTTCAATGATAATTTTGGCCTTGTGTTGTGGACATTCTAAACATTTATTTGGAATTGTGTAAATTATATTTTGAATCTTTGTAAATATTCTTACATCCCTTGTGAAATATTGACTTGAATGTAGAATACTTAAACTGGAATTAAAGTGTGTTTGGAATTGACAGTGGTTAAAATGCTAATTTACAAGTATACATTATTTGAAAATCAGAATGGAGTTTGGATTTTTGATGCCTCACCATATTTATATTCATAATAAAATGTAAAGGAAAACATAGATTAGAAAATGAAAAATACGTTTTTGCCAAGCAATATTTAAATTAATTTTGTAAAATATTTTGTCAAGTAATTTTTTTTCTTTAGTTGTTTTTATGCACATGGCACAATTTTATTCATTTTTATCCCAAAAATTTTGTTTCGGTTTAATATTTGCATTTAATTTCTAGCATTATTTTTAAGTTGCTTTGTGGCTTTGATATTTTTAGTTTCAAAATATTTTATCAGGTAAAAGAAGGCTCATTAATTGAAGATCTCCAAACGCAAGTACATACAATAGGAAATAAGGTAAGTTCTTAATATTAGATTTGAAAATTTTGAGTTGATGTTTGAGTTAAAGAAGTTTTTTTAATTTCATTTTGTTGATATTGATGAGTTTGCAGCTTGCTAAAATTGATTTTGGCTTATTCTAAAAAAAAATTATTTATTAAATTATGATTTACATATATTTTATATTTATATTTATGAGTGTTATGTTATACTTGATGAAATAATATCCAGTTTTTGTAAACATAATACAGTAATATGAAATTATTACAGATATATTTATGAAGTTATTAATCTGGATGTTTATTTGAGACCCTTTTGAATTATTTGTTATCTAATAATTATATAATTTATATAAAGTAAATGATCACTAAATTATATTGAAAGCCAGGAAAAAAGCTTATTTATTATAAGTAAATTGTCACAGATTTCAAGTAAAAGTATGTGTGTACAAAATAAAACAAAAGTTGGAGATTTCTTTATGTTTTTGGTAAACATTGATTTATTATATGACTATTAAAAAAGTATCTTTAGATCGATTGAATTTATATTTAATCAATCTAAATTGGTTGATTTTTTATTAACACATTTCATCTTGAACTTTTAGTTTTTATTAGAAATTTTAACAAGAAAATCATTTATGATATGTTGCATAATGTCTTTAATTGCTATATGGAAAAATTCTGTTATAAAGGATAAAATTTGACACATTTCCTTTCATTACGTGCATTGCATTTGTGAGACATGTTACCTTTATTTTTAGAAATAATATATAAATGAGCAAATGTTATTTTTATAAGTGGAAGAAATTACTTAGGAAGAAATAAAAGTATATTTTAGAACAAAGTATAATTATATTCATCCATTAATCCAATGGTATATATTATTATTTGTTGATTGATCTTTAACCAATGTACTTGTAAATGTTGAATATTTTGTTCACAATTCTCAATTATCTATGACGTTTTTTTTTTTTTGAATAATTACTTCTTTCTAAAAATAAAATAAAATATTTTTTTAATAATTTTTTAAATATTTTGTCAAATTAATGTGTTTTGTTTGATCATTTAACCAAGAAAAAATACATTTGGAAAGGCTCTTTGTAGAATATGCTATTCAAAATGAATCAAAAAATTACAATGCTTTGAATTAAACTGACTTTATGGTTTTATTGCATAATCTTTTTATTTTATGGCGCGTGTTGGATGTATTTTTTATTATTTTGCAAGTATGGATTAATTTGTTTGTATTTACCATGTTTACCATGAAAGTTTCATTTAAAATGAAATTTTCATGGTAAACATGGTAAGTTTCATGGCTTGTTGGTAATGAAGTAATTTTTAATTTATGATCCACTACTGATTAGTCTTTATAAACATTATTATTTACTGTTCTCCACAAAAATTCTAGTTATATAAATTTGGGAATCACAGAGGCTAACACCCTTGAGGTTAAGTAGTATATCGTGCAATAATTTCATTGAAAGGTGTGCAACGATTTACTGTGATATGGTACCATCTTTCTTGAAATATGTATTTCATTTTCATTGAGTTTTGCAAATGGATACTAAATTTCAGAATATTATCATTTAGCATTTATTTTGCCTTCAAATAAATTAGAACTCTCAATACTTTTGACAAATATAAACTTATTATTATTATTAATTATTATAAAATGGTAAAAAAAGTTTAATTTTGAGGGTAGTGATGAATTTTATAAAGAAAACTGTAAATGCTAAAACAAGTAAAATCTTCATTAAATCTTCTCTGTCTCCCCACTCCCTTGACCTTTAACCACCAAAATTTAATAGCATCAATGCTCTTTATACACAAGGTACTGTACTGTGCCAAATTTCATTTCTTAATCTTTACTCCTCCTGAGACATTAAAGAAAATACATACAGATCCATAAATTTTTTTTTTGTTCAGGAGATCACAAAATGTGGAGATTTGCAAAAATTTTAGAGGGTCAAATTTGACACAATTTCAATTATTTTCCTTGTTATGTACACATAACAGCAATAAAATTGGAAATTTCACAAATTTTATTAAAACATTAAAATTTGTGAAGTTTCTTAAACTGTATAAAAGTAAAGCTATTAATGAATCTGTTACAATTTTTTTAAAGAAGTTACTAAATACTTTTTAATTTATTTAAAATTTTCAAAGAAGTTAATTAATTTCAATATATTTCAGGTTGTAGATGTAAGTAAGAAAGGTTGGCAAGATTTGTCTGTAATGTTTAGTCAAAAAGCAACAACTTTGGAAACTGCGGAAGGAGCACCTACAGAAAAATCTTCTCTTCTAGGAGGCTCCATAAATAAGGATTCAAAGTAATGTATTTTTATAAATTGATTAGTTTTTACGTTTACACTGGAATCTTGATTATCCAAGATAAACCTGCAAGTGAATATACTACAGTAGAGCATCGATTATCTGACTGTGATCAACTGTCACATCGGTTAACCGATCGTGTTCTAGTCGGCAAATTCAAATGTCCGCTAGTGATGTGGCACTATAATATTTGGCTATGTCTTCGCTACTTTAATGTTATTTTTGTTAAATTTTTTCATGTTTTAGCAGGCAACATGGTTCAAGCGTAAAAGGGAGTCCAGTATTTAAAAGAGGCTTAATTTTTTAATTATAAGTGATTGTTTGTTTCGTGAGCAATAAAATAATTTAAAAATAATTTTTAACAATACAATAGCGACGGTTATTATTTAAAAAAAATTTGCAATATACTAATTACATGGGATATACTAATATACTATACTAATAATATATTTTTTCATACTTTTCAGTTATCTATTTTTTCAGTTATCCGACCAACCCCAGTCCCCAATTGAGTCGGATAATCGATGCTCTACCGTACTTCTCTTATATTGCAATCCATAAAAGAAAGTTTAAAATGATAATGTGTATTGCAAAATAGTTTGTCTTTGTTATATTTTATCATTTAACTTCAATGTGAGATAATCCATTCATATGTAACTACAGTATACTCTCAATTATACATCTTGCAGATTATTAGTGCATGCTTACATCTTGTTAAAAATTTATATCAGAAATAGAAGTATTTGCACTAAAATAAAAAAAAAATCTATATTGTTAGCTCTAACTGTTTAAAATTGTATGTTGAGCATCAGAACTCTTTCGGATTGTCAAGGCATAAATTAAGTAGTGTTACAAGTACAGTAAGTGCAGTTGATTCTTGAACAGTATAGCTTTACTTATGTTTATACTGTGTTTTCTCTTTTTTTTTTTTATTAAATAACTTGAATAATTTTCTTATCAGTAAATCATTAATATCTCAAAGTTAATGACATTTTATGATGGTCTCTAGATGGTACTGGGAACTGTCATTCCCAGTTAGTAATACAAGAAATTGCATTACTAACTGGTGAGATGTGAGATGATAGTTCAATCAATTTTTCTGAATTTTCTGTTTACTTTAAAAATTTGTTTAACTCTGATCACATCTAAAGCTTATTAATTAATTAATTTATCAGTCTAAAAACATATTTTATTTGTAATGTATAAATTACTTACATTAACCTTCCTAATGTGACCCAAAGTTGGTTGATTGCGCAGACTTATCACACCTTGTAGAGTAAATGATGAAATGGAGTCCGAGATCAAGTTCAAAAGTATATGCTTTATTAGTATTGGAAATGTATTTCAGACTCATAGTACCTCATCATTCCAAACAGCAAGTGTAGATGATTATAAGCTGAATTTCTGGTATATATACATAACATGAACTTGCTCTCAACTGAATTGTTAATCAAACACTGTGTATTTCCAAAACTAATAAAGCATATACTTCTGAACTTGACCTACAAGGTGTGATAAGTCTGTTCAATCAGCCAACTTTGAGCTACATCAGGAAGCATTAACCCAGACAAGGTGGGAGAAAAATTACTGTTATGTTAAATTTAATACAAAATTAAAAACTAAATGAAAGAAAAATTGATTAGTTTCTCTTAAAATAGACTTTGCAGATTATCTGTGCCTCCATTGTCAGTGATAGCTTAGGTAATCTAGAGTATACTGTACAATAATGCACATTTTCATTCTTAAAACTGTTATAGCTTTAGCTGTACAATAAATGATCTAAAAATTGTTGTCTTATATATAATAAAAATCCACTCAGATTATAAAAAGAGATTTAAAAGTGTCATCAGATAAATATTTTATTTTATATTAAAAATTAGAAATGGCCATGGCCATCTATTTTAGCCAAGATTTTGGTTATCAGTCCACTTTACCTCTGATAATTGGGGTTCTACCATATCTAGTTTTGATTTAAAAGATTATACATAAGTAAAATAATCAAATTTTTACATTTTTGTCTATTTTACATTAATTTCTAAAGAATTTCAATAATTAAAAAAAATTTGTTTATTTTTAAAATTTTAATGTGAAACATTTCGTTGTTATAAATATATTTTGAATATCAAACATTTATAAGTTGAATTGACAAAGGGGTTAAGAACTTTTTTGGCTAATTAATGAATTCTAGGAAAATTGGAACTTAATGGAACCTGTTTAATATAAATTTTAGCAAGTAACAGTTCTGTTTTATCTAACTTATAAAAGTTTGAGTAGAAGATCTAAACAAACCTTCATACGTTAATGAATGAATGAAATTGCATCCAATTGCTTTGTCATGATTTATTATTAATAAATCTCTTCTATATTATTTTCTTTGCTTCTTCTAACATGAATATCTATTTTACTATAAATGAATTACAGTTTAGTTTTTGTACATACAGAATTTATATAAAATAAAATTAATTTTTCAAATTTAATTAATTAAAAGGTAAACTGCTGAAAAGTTTGCTACACAATTCAATTTTTAAGTATTTGACTAATTTATTTTTAAAGAATAAGTTCAGTTAGAAGGTTAAAATGCCAATTCTTAAATTCAAGAACATTTAAATGTTAATTTGAATGATTGATAAAGAAATTAGAGCTATGATATAGTCTCCTTCGATGACAAACTATCTTTTATGTGATTATGAAATATCACATTAATTGTATCGACTGTTCTATTTATAATTTGGAAATAACATTTGAAGAACTTGATTAAATTTTTATTCGTTTTACTTACTTTTAAGTGTAAATTTTATATGTATTAGCTTACTTGTAATCCAATATAAAAAAAGTAAAGACTATTTCTGTAACTTTTTGTATTATTTCATATTGATCAATTACAATAATAATATGATGCAAATTTTTAAATAAGATTACAGGTATCTTTTGATTAATGCAGTTAAATAATCCCTCGATGCTGCCACATATATCAAAATGGCATTAATTAAAATATCTGCCACATAATTTTGATTTAAAAGATGATTTGTCATTTTTTAAATTGTCCAGTAAATTGTAAAGAGATTGCCACAATTAATTTCATGTGTTAATCAAATCTTGCATTAATCAAATTCTGTGTTACGAAAGCGGATGCCTGTACTATTAAAATAATGATGATTATGATGCATTGTGTGTGTGTGTGCAAAGAACAAATACTAATAACCATAAAATTTGAATGATTTATTTTAATAATTTCAGTAAAATCTTGATTAATGGTCTAATTTGGGTGAGGGGGATGTCTGTTAAAGCCAAAAGTCCATTTTATAATAAAGTAGGTTTTTCGAATGCATGTTAAAAAATTGACAAATTAATTAGTTTATCTGTAGATACTTACGTACGACTTATGTAGATAGTTTTGTGTAATTAAAATTAAATATGTATATGAAATTTAATTTCGCAGAAAAATTTTTCTGTGTGTATTATTGTTAAATCTATTCTGTATGCACTCACCATAGTTCTGAGACTGTAATAAGTAAGTATATGATCTAAATTGAAATAAATAAACAAGCACTTTTTTGGAAAATAGTTTTTAATAAATAATGTTCTGAAAAAGAAAACAAAATTTAAATTTGACAAAAACACAAAACAGTTTCCTATTTTTTTTGTCTTCAGATGATATATCGAGACACACTCATTTTGTCATGAAGGTAAGAACACTTTTGACTTATGACAAAAAGACTGGAAATTTTGTCCATTAAATCAAGGTTTTATAATTATATGATTGATATGAAGGTGAAATATTAATGATTTGTTTAAATTACATCATTATGAAAGTATTTTCTTCTCTTTTTTTAGTAGGAATAAAGATATAGATAAAAGTAATACACCTTTACTTGATGAAACTTCAAATTCTCCAGATAAGGATTCCTGGAGTTGGCATGATGAGGAAAACAAAAGCCAGCAAACAAGGTAAAAAATTATTAATTACAGTAGAACCTCGATTATCCGGACTAATTGGGGATGAAGGTAGTCCGGATAAGGAAAAATCTGGATAATCGAAACAAATACTTTGTTTTTAATGATGTTTTCTTTTCGATGACATATCGGCAATATTAAAAATAAATTCTGTATTTAAATCGTGATCAAATTTTCAAGAAACAAATGTTTTATTGAATTTGGACTAGTACTGACCAGCACTAACAGACTAGCTATTGTTTAAAAGGCCCTCTGGCGGCTCAAGAATACGGATTTTGTAAAATAAAAAGCAGTCGAAACTGCATTTTTATGAATAAAAATTTGACAAACTGTTTATCGTTTTATGACGAGTAAAATTTTTTCGTCACGTTCTTGGCTTTTAAGTAATGCATAAACCTTCGAAGCGCGAGGCCCTTCTGACCGCAAGGCATAGGCGGTGGCCCATGTTGCCCATGCCTTACGCCGCCCTTGGTTATAGAAATGATGTAATTTGAGTATAAGTTATTTATAAATACGTATGTCAAGTTACATTTTTATTACAACGCAAAATATATTTAAGAGTTTACGACCACTGTGCCAGGTGAGACGTTGTTGAAACAAAAAATGTTATGCATTTCATCACGTACATAAACAGTGTCGTAATTCGCCAAGTGCAAATCAGCAAATTCGTAAAATTTTTGTTTATTTTGAACAATCCGGATAATCGAAAATTCGGATAATAAGAGGTCTGGATAATCGAGGTTCTACTGTATTAACAAAATAAAACACATAGCAGGTACACAATTATTTATTTTAGTAGGGATATTTTTATATATTTACAAAGCAATTGGTATGATTTGTGATTCAGTACAGATTTTAAGTAATAAAATTTTGGAAATAAAAAGAAATATAGTAATTAACACATAATATATTCTATAAATTTCCACTGGCATCTATCTGTCTGTACTGTACTTCCTTAATCTCAAAAATGGAGTTAGGTAGATGACAGTCGAGACCAGATATGGAAGCTTAGGAACAGGAGTGCATGATTAACTATAGTCAGACCTGTCTATAATGGAACCCCAAGGGACGAAACAACTCTTCTGTAGTAGACAGGTTTTTGCTATATACTGTACAGATTATCTACTATAGGTATTCCTTGATTAATGCAATTAATAGATTTCTCAATGTTATTGCGTATATCAAAATCACATCAATCAAATACATAATCAAATACAAAAAGTTGTACCTTCGTACGTAACTGAACAATCATCATTTTCTAGAACAAATTTTCAGTTAATAACAAATATTTTTATTTTAACTTTAATTTTTTCATTCATCCGTAAAAAAGTTCTCAAGATAAAAATGAGTAACCAATTTAAAAATAAAATAAAACCTTACAGCTATATATTTTTGTCAGACAAAATTATACTCAATTCAGTTTGTTTTTTTTTTTTTTATAAGTGGAAAAAAAAACAAACTGTGTGTGGAACACAATCATCAGCATGTTTTACAACCATTTCAAGTGAATGTAATGTTTTAACAATACGTGTCTGTGACACACTAAGATTTGTTGCAAATTCATGAATTCATCAATTTGTAACAATTTCTTTTCAACAGCTTTTGGGCCCCATACATTTTGTATCCTTTAGTTCAAAATTTCTTGAATGAAACTTTCAAAACCACATTTGACACATTCAGAGTTTAGAAGCATCTTCCTTGTACACGGTACAAGTATTTTTTACTGTTTGTATAGCATAATATCCTTTATGGAACTTAAAAAGCATGCATAATATGCTGATGTGCATTTTATCTGTAGACATTTTGACTTGATTTTATTCAAACAAACCTGATGTAAATAGTTTAAAATAAGCTTCAAAACAAAGAATACAATCTCATCTAGAATAAAGTGTTAAATTTAACTACTTATAATTACATCATATATTTATGTTAAGTAAAAACAGCTGTTAATAAAAATATGCAAAAACTTTCCATTCAAATTCCAATAAAATTACTGTAATACAGTAGTCATATTTTGCTATTCTGTATTGGGCATGTTATTTTTTGACTTTTTTATGATTTATAATACATGCTAGGCTTGTTAAATTTGTGTTAAATTGGATAAAGATGCCAATTTTTTCATTATACAGCCCAATTTTCCTTTCTGTTTTTGCACTAGACAGGTTCTACTATATACAGTTTAATTTATATTAATTTTGCAAGCAATTCAAGAGATTGAAGAAATTTTCTGTTAATAAGGTTTTCGCTATATGCAGGTTTTGTTATAGACAGGTTTGACTGTATATACAAACTTCCAGTTTGGACCAAAAGTCATTATTTCAATTAAAAAATTTTCCCAGAATGGGATTAGATAGATGACCAGCATGACTGTACTGTTATCAGGAAAAGTATGATGTACAGGGGCAAGTCACTATTAAAATGGAGAGCACATATATTTTAAGTTAAATAAATTAAAAATAGGATTAAAAATTGCAGTCTGGCATTGTGATCATGTCAAATAAATAATTGTGATTTTTAATATATATACTTAGATTAGAGGTAAAGTAAGAATGATAACCTTGTAAAGTAATATTGAAATCAAGAAATTTTATATATTAAAAGTGAATTACATATATCTTTGTATTGTTTCAACTAGTGATTCTATTATACAATAGAAACTTGCTAATGTAGATTTGATGAGACTCGATCCAGTTTGAATGAACACCAATCCAAATAATCTAGAATTTTGTAACATTTGAACTGTTAGGGATATCGTATAATGTATTCGTAGTAAGTAAAGATTTAGATTTTATTGATGAAATATGTATGTGTACAGCATTCTACAATATTGAGATGACTTACAAATGTAGCCATCACCTTCACATATACCTTGTAGATTGAGCCATTTTGTAGAACACCAAAACTTTACCAGTACAGTATTGCATTTTAATTTTTAAAAAAATTAGATTTTATTTATTTAAACATTACTATACTATTATCCAGATATGAATATACCAAAATTTTACATAATTACAATTTTTTTTAACTGCTCTGCCAGCATTACTAGAGGGTTTTTTCAATACCTATTACGGATTCAAATGGGCTTAGGTGGTCCGGCAACTAGAAGTGGGATCCGACACGTTTGGGTCAAGACTACCTTAAAGAATTCCTGCATTTGATTGGTGTTCCCAGAGCAGTTGGCAGATGGTCTTAACTTTGATTAATTGTTGGATAAACAGGAATCTAGTTTGTGTGTGTTCACACCCACACAAACAAATTATTGTATATAATTTCAGAATATAATAATATCTGATAAAATATTAAAATTAAAATGATGATCAGTAAAGACTTTTATTACTGTAGAAACAGTTAGTTTAGTATTGAATTTTATTTAGATTTTCTTTCACTTATAAATGTATGACTTAAAAAGCAAACATCAATAAAAATGTGATGATTATTAAATATCTATAAAGAATTTCATTGGAAGAATAAAATTCATACGAAAAATTGTCCGAATTATTTAAGTACCGGTAATTTTTTTTACTTTTTAAATTCAATATCGAAACAAAATTTTTTATGGATTAATTTTACAGTAAAGTACAAATGAAAGTATTTTGATTTTTACAATCAATCAATCAATCAATATATTTTATTAAGATGTTTCAACAATACATCTCCTGGTTCCGCAAACAAGCATAGCCAGAAGTAAATAACAAAACAATAAATATTACAGCAATAAAGAAGAAATATAATGCTATTTACAATAATATTATATCAAACATTATTTATGTCAATATTTAGTTTATATTTTAACATTTTTATGGTTATTTTTTTATCANGGTCGCGTGGAGTTTTCCGGATTTTCTTCACATCTTTAACAGTTAAATAGGGACCAATTTCCCAATATTACACGAATAACCCCTAAATATGGGCCAATTTTCCATAAAAGAGCATTGATCTGAATTTTCCCAGGGACGTTTCTTCAGAATTTTCCGCTTTGGACGGGTTTCCGTTTTATTCAAGTTCCGTGTTAGACAGGTTTTACCGTATATAGGAAGCTGTTTTCACTCGTTTAATATACCACAAATAATAAAAAATTTATTAAGAAATAAACGATATAAAAATTTAGAAGTAGATTTTCCCCTGGAAAAATAATTACGATGAAATATTCAAACGTCTTCTAATTTCACTCCAATTCGGTAGATTTTGGAGGTATTTTCTGGAAAATAATTGACGTCAGGAACGAAATTTCCTTTATAATTTTCGAGTTAAAAAACTGATCATACTCACAAAGCTTGAAAAGGAAGAATGTATTTAACTTTGGGCGTGTTAAACCCATTAAAACTGGTGTTTCGAGTGAAGGAATAAGCGCCCATGTCGCGGAACATGAGCCAATCCCCCACCGACAAGTCGGGGAGCGAACATTCTACTATTCTATCTGTAGAATCGCACGTTGGGCCCCAAACCACGGATCGATGAACCGTGTTCGAATGGTTCCTCTGTAAGAATATATTAATTATAATTACCTTACCGGATGATTGTTCGATCATCGTCGATATTACCTTTATTGCTATTGGATAATAAGTCATTTTGTAGTAAATGACGTCGCTAAAACTTCCGAAAACGCCGTCGTTTATGTAATAATGACATACTTTCGTCTTTTCACCTAAATACATAAATATATAACAATATTTAATATAATTAATTGCATTAATCACGAATTTCATTTATGAAGGATTAAATAGGCTAAGACGAGTTTAAAAGTAATTTTATTAATTAAAAATTTGTTTTTGTAATTTAATCAAGGCGAATTTAAAGTAGCTTCTTTGTAATACGTCGCAGAGTTAAATTTAAGCAAGTTTGAAATAAAAGAATAATTTAAATTATAGTCCACGCTCGAATTAGACCTATTTGAAGTAAAATTCAAACTGGTTGTCAAATAACCAATAAAAAAGATCTGTAACGAATCTTTTATTTCGAAAAAGTTCCGATATAAATACAGTGGAACCTCCAATAACGACCGCCATTCTTTTCCGCAACTTTTTCAAACGCCTATAAAATAACCTTCTAACACGGTCACATTTTATCTTCAGCGAGCGTTTGAATGATTTTACATTGTTTTGTGGTGTTTTATAAACTTAATTACAAAATTTTCCTTATTCTAGAATATTTATAATAGAATAATAAATGATACCATTTTCTGTAGCCGTTTCCATTTCTCGTTTGGCTATAATGTTAGCGCACAATACGAAGGAAGAAGATACAAGAAATCTTCCCGGATTTGCCACGATCTGTACTTCGTTACTGGGATGAAAATGGTCGTGTAAAACATCTCCGACAATAGAAGATATCTACATAATATAATTTATTTTTAACGCTAGTATTAAATTTATAAATAAATAAATAATTAAACTCCTTCCGCCTACGGGCCTGGATCCTTTTAGCAAGCTCATTATGGATTCGACCGAGCCAACAACCGAGTGGCCGGTTGGGGAGGAATAGGCTCTACATAGATGGATAGACCGATCCGGAAAAATTTCTGTTATATTACCAGACATACTAACACAAGGGGTAATTAACTTAAGATTATAAAGGATCAAAGTATCGACTATATATTTAAATATATACTGTATATGCATAAAGGACTTAATCCGAATAAGGGGATCAACGGAGAATCTGAAGTGGCGGCCAGACACCTTAATTGGAAAATTAAGATGTCGCGGCTGCTCCAATGCGGGCCTGGCCGAACCCACGATGGGAGTGCTAAAATGGGGCCCTTTTAGTGTTTATATTTAATCATTTGTAACGCACCTCGTTGAAGTTGACTTCTAAAGTTTCCGTTTTCGAGGGAAATCCAGTACCAAGATCAAGTATAGAGAAATGAAATCCTAAAGATTCTCCGATACTAAACACTCGACTGGCTGTCAAAATGGCGTTTGTGAATTCTTCGACTACTTCTATATTTTCTATATAAAAACTGAAATGTTTTAAAGCAAAAAGAATTATTTTAATAAGAATACTTTCGAACGATTACATTTCAAACAATACAAGTTGTAAGGATCGGAAGAATCGCCGAGAAATTGAAGCGTATCTTCGCTTCATTTATTTACAAGAAATCAATTTTATTACGTTTAAAAATAATGGGATAATCTAGTAAAAATGTCAACAGATTATCTAAATTAAGAACATAATTTACCTGACTCCAACAACTCGTAATTGTAAATCCCTGGCTTCTTGTAGTAAAGAAGAGACTTCGTCCAGATGGACGTAGCCAGATTTTATGGCATTTTTAGGTCCGGGAGAATAAGAAATATCAATGGGAAGAATCAGTCTTTTAATAAAATATTTTTCGTTTGTAAATATTTCATTTTTAAATTTGAAATAATACCAGATGTTTTGAATGGAAAACTTACTCGGCTGACGGGTGAATGTCTTTAATCTTTTGTAATTCGCATTTATTGTCGAAGAACAGCCATTTTACCCCGCATTCGGCAGCAAATGTTAGCGACATGGGGGATTTACATTGATTGGAGTAGCAAATACGAGAAGGATCGATTCCCGCTCTCAAGACATTTTCAATTTCCATCTGTATTTTGATAAATGAGTAAATAATCATTGTATTCTTATCCAAATATAAATTCGATTGGGAAAAGACAGTAGCCTAACTAAAACCGATATTAGGGGGCCTGGATTAGAACGCGCCGCTACGAAGTAAACTTTTAGATGGGGCCGCCTTAACGGCATTATAGGCCCCGGGCCCAGCGCAACAGGTGATTGGTAAATTAGTGTTAAATTTGGTCCGCGCGTAAATTAGCGATGGGCTCCGGGGTAACTGCCCAGCGTGCCCATGCGTTAAAAAGACACCGAATGCGCTTTATTCGTAAATAATATCCGATTTATTCCTTTCCCTTTAGAAAACTAATTAAATATACAGTAAAACCTGTGTAAACAGGACTCGAATATTTTCCCTGCTTGCAAGATTTCCCTTTTGAACAGATTTTACTAAACATAGTATTACAGCAAAGGTACTTAAACATTTCTTGATACTTCTTATTAGAGTCAATTTAATAAGGATATTATATAATAAAGCTATTCACCTGTCGGCAGAGTTCTAACAGTTCTAACTGGTCTAATGTTGAGAACACTCGTCTTCCTGATTTCTGGCTCAATTTATCAAAATTTGATTTTTACAATAAGAATGTATTAATTCATGGAGAAAAAAGCTATATTTCTTATTTATTTATATAGCCCAGTTAAAACAAAGAAATCGCCTTCGGCCGCCGAGTGGAATGCAGAAGAATGGAAGTCGAAACCGAATCGTGCCAACAAGAATAGTAAAGGAAAACAAAGTTCTAGTATTAATCACTCAAATAAAGGAAAAGATATCAAACAGTGTCAGGAAGGAGAAAAGCTATTAATAGATTTTGGAGAGGAATCTAAATCTGGAAACGGCGAAGTAGAAGGTAACTGGGGATGGGAGGAAGACGATTGGGAAGACTTGGAAACATCTAGTAAAGGATACCAAAGGATAGGCTCAAAAAAAGACTAATTTGTCAAAACGTAAAATTTTCTGATGAGGGTTTATGAATTTTCTCCAACTAAAAAAAAAATCTGTGACTGGAAGAATATGTTGTACGTTTCCAGTTAAGTTTATTTTTTCCATATATATATATAAAATTGTGTTTTTAAGTAATATTATGCCGCTCAAAAAATTATTTCTTAAACTATTGTTTATATTTAACTAAAATGTATTAAAATTCATTGTATATAAGTATTATAAATGTGAAACAATGAACGATCGGTATTTTAAAATGCATAATGATAACAAATTAAAAATTTTTTTTTTATATATTTTTTCAAATTCTAAAATAAAATCTTATTTGATATAGTCTTCCGAATTGCTTACGAGTATGCTTAAATTAATTAAAAATATAACTTATTTTACTATACTACTAAATATATAGAAATTCTCATTTTTAACCAAGTTCGTTTATTTTCGAAGCAATGTTATAAACATTTTTTAATCACTTTTATTTTATCAACAGATTTAGTCAAATTATTAGCATAGCGTACATTTACGGCAACATTTGTCCAAAATGCAATTTTAAGCCATAGTGTTTTAGTAAATTCGAAAATCTCTAAAGTATAAACCTCGTACGTTGAACCGTTATTTATTTTTTAATCCCGCTAATACTTTTTATTATTGGATTTTAAAATGTACTTTGTTAGAATAGTTCGCTTTCGTGTCAAAAGAGGCCTTGAAAGGCATCGGATATTCCGAGGGAGAAAGTAGTTGCGTGCTCACACAAGCTTGATACTCTTGACGAGCGTGCGAGAAGAACCCTTTTTGTACGCTCGTCCGTTGTAGGGCCCTACCACAAGACGATTGACGGTGGCCGAAATACCCGAGACGATGCTATTTGAGGATTCTTGCTTCGAACGCGGGTCCACTATAGTGACGTAGGTCTTTACGGCTTCGGTCTTCCCCTAACGAACATGTATTTGAAAATAATGACAAGAAATTGAAGATTACTTTCGAAACAAAATGAATAACAAAGAGAAAATTCTCGAGAAAATCGAGATTTAATTACGCATACGGTTTAAGTAGAGGGGGGATGAAAAAAAGGTACACCACTACGCGGGGGGAGTGGATCTACGTAGAATTTTTTGGCATACGAGACATTCGTTCTTATATGCCTAAGTCCTATCATACTAGGCATTTCAACGTCGAGGGTTCATAAATTATCGTACACCTAATTAAAGAAGTTTGCCAAAATTACATCGTATGTAACGGGGAAGGGATCAAAAGAGGCGCAACAACTTTTTAACCACTCGACTCCAAACAAAACGCGTATACAGATTACGTACATAGTCCGTTCCATCAGTTAGTAATAGTATTGCGAATGGTTGTTCAGTGAGTTGCCATTTCCCCGTACATTTTTTATAATTTAAAGTTTTTGAGCAATGACCAATGTAGTTTTACGCCCCAGCATTTCCTTGTTAAATTGTGTGATACTCCACAGCGAGAAAAGAAGAGATTGATGTCTCCGTTAATATCTCTAGATGTCAAAGGGTCATATGACAATGCGTGGCGACCCTCAATTTTAAAACTTACGAGAGGTACCAAAGTGCCACAAAACATTTTCTATTTCTCGAAGATTTCTTAAGAAAACATCTGGGCTTTGTTAAATAAATCTCCCCGAATAAAGGTTATTAATTATTGACAGTTTGCCAGACATTTGTGGTCTTCGCCCGGTTAAGTGGCACCAGTTGGAACGGACGAAACATCGTATTGGTGGGGATGACGGTAGGGGTAGAAATACAGTATATGACGGAGGTATCTGCGGTTTGTTTTATGGTGAGATGGTCGTAACCTGGGGTGGGCCTTGTGTAGACTGAGATAGGTGAGAGAGCGATTGGTTCGAGAAGTTTCTAAAAAATATTTTTTACAATCTTCCAAATTCTCCAGTCTGTTTAAAGTTCTTCGTTTAGCGGCTCCGTAGAACTTCAAAGGTATTTTTTCTGGATATACGGTCGACGGGTCAATTATACAAAACAGTAATCTAACGTTTGTTTACAGTTAGTATAAGCTCTCGAACCAAAGTAAATGTGACCTTCCGAGTCGGCACCTCCTTAGTGCCCAGTCAGGATTGACACCACCGTGTTTAGAGGAACACGGAAGCCGAGACGGCGATTTCGTCGTCCGTCGCGCGAGCGGTCCCGTACGCGAACAGTCGGATTCGACAGGTCAGAGTTAACATAGGGAAGAGACTCGAACTACCCTTAACAATCAACAAAGGGTTTATTAAAAATTTAAATGGAATAAAGTGTGGTCGCGGAGAGAGAGAGTTTACATACGATTCGCGTGGCGATAAATACCTGACAGGTTATCTTATGGATCGAGGTCTTCAAACCGCTGTTGACGATGTCACTTCCAAGTTCTGGGTTACGGAAATATCCAAATAGGCACTTAAGTTCGTTGTT